AGTATGCATACTAAATATGAAGTCTCTATCTTTTATGGTTCAAAAGTTATGGCGAAGGTTAAAGTTTGCAGACAGAAAAGCTATTTTTAGCATATGTCACATTCAAGGTCACAAGGTCATTAATATTAGTGTCAATTGAAAGCACCTCATTAGTGAAGTATGAATACCAAATATGAAGTTTTTACCTTTCATGGTTCAAAAGTTATGGGGAAGGTTAAAGTTTGGGGACAAACAAACAAACAGACGGACAGACAGACAGACAGGACAAAAACAATATACGCCTCGGATCTATCGATCCGGGCGCATAAAAATTTGGTGAAGTAAAAGTACACAGTCTATTGAATTAGTAATAAAAACCTATAAGCAGTATATTGCCTATTGTTGCCCCCCCCCCCCCCCCCCCCAAAAAAGTCATGTTTTAAAATTTTGTTGAAATGTGCTAAATTGTTTATAATTTATGAGAAAATATAAATTAACAAACATTATCATATAGGTTATTGACAATTTTTGCTTTTATGAGGTCACAAGCTTTTCGGAATTTTTATTATTTTTAGGAAAGAAGAAAAAATAGACAAAATTTGCTCAATTTTTCCTGTAGAATTTTTGCAGCGTACGTCTGCTCCAGAACAATATCTACATATTTCATTGATACATGTATTATCAATCTACATATTAAAACAAAATATTGAGCTGGAGTAGACCTGCGCTCAGTGGCTTTTGCTCAAAATATCTACATACTAGTAATATAAACCTTTTCTGTAAAATTCCTGGAAAATTGAAATTTACGTCATTTTCCTGAAACATACGACATCTTGGCTTATGAAAATATTCAGTACTTTGAAGTCTGCAGATATCCCCCTTTTTAAAAGCATAATTATATATTTCAAAGTCAAAGTTTGATTTTGTTGGCAAATATTGGCCATTAACGCATATAGTGGATACATGAATAAAAATCATTAATATTGATAATTTTTTTTGCTTATTAGCTACTGTAGGTGTCACTGAAAGAGGATAATCTAAGTTATGAATGTAGTCTTGCAAAATACTGTTACCCTGAGATTACCAATTTGATTACTGGTAAGTAAAATCTTTGATCTTTGCAAAATTTAATTTGGTAATACATTATTAAAATGTGAAAAAAAAATAATTATCAAATATATATATATATTATCATTAAAAAATATCATTGTTACTTTTATAAATAATGTAGTAGATAAACTTATCTAATCTGCATTATCCAAAAATATCTTCGAAGTTATGATTGCTTTCTGTTTGTTTTACAGTGATATCATATCAGTGTTTTTTTCTTTCATGAATGTAATTAAAAAATGAAACTTCATAAAGCATTAATTTAGTAGATAGATTGACTAATAATTGCTTAATACCAAGTCTGGAATATCTCTGCCATATTTCAGAGGTATAGTGAAACCTGTCTTATCCTACATGCTGCAGGAGACAAAATTTTTGTTGGAATTGACAGTTTACCTGATTGAAAAGTGTAAAATAACATTAGGATTTGTAAAATGAGAAAGAAATTTTCAGTCGGAATCAACAGTGTGAAGGATTACACAGGTGTTAAGACTTTACTGTACCATTAGTAGACTAGAAATACTTGTATTATAGTCAAATATCATGCACTTGTGTCCAACAATAGATGAACAATCTTAATTCAGCAATAATGACAAAACAAAAAGGGGGATCTTTTGAATCCACTAATGAAAAAACTATAACTGTAGATCAACCCACATAATCAACAAAGTTTTCTTTACAATGTTGATGCATGTCTATAGATCAAATTATCATAATGCCCTTTAAAAATCATTAACAGAGAAAGGATTATCATAAAATAAATATTTCAAGTAGAAAACAAATTTTATCAAATAGTATTGACAAAAGTAAACTGAACACAAATAAATTAATATTGCAGAAAGTATTATTTGATAACAAAAAATATAATTTTATTATTAATTAATTAATGAATCTATTTTCCTTTCAGACAATTCTATACAGTAAATCATTTCATATTTAAGAAAAAAATAACAAGAATTTATTATATGTTCATCTATAACATGGAGGGTATTTTCTCTGGTTGTCAATTTAAAAAAAAAAATTAGGTTCTGTCAAATTTGCTTAAGAAAAACTTTTTAAAAATATATAAACTTTAACTTCTAAAAGTATTTAACTTTGCACATCAAACAAAACAATTAAATTACAGAATTAGAAATAAGAATTTCCAAAAAATAACTTTAAATAGTTAAAAAAAGAAGAAAAAGATTGAATAAATCTCATAACAAGCATATCTTTAATTTAACTTTTAACTTCATTTTAACCTAAAAGAGGATTTTGTGTTCTAAAATACTTCCAAATCTTTTTTTAATCACATTTTTAAAACAAGAGGCCCATGGGCCACATCGCTCACCTGAGTAACTTAGGTGAGGCAGATCTTTACCAGATTCCCCCTCTTGCTATACCTATCATGCCCAACAACGCCCTTCCCTTTTTTATTTTAAAACTTTAGAATCTACACTACCCAAGGATGCTTCCACATTAGTTTCAGCTTTCCTGGCTCAGTGGTTCTTGAGAAGAAGATTTTTAATGATTTTTCCTATCTATTTCTATGTAAAACTTTTCTATTGTGGCCCCGCCCTACCCCCAGGGGTCATGATTTTTGCAATTTAGATTCTTCACTATCCAAAGATACTTATTAATTTCAGCTTTTCTAGCCCACTTGTTCTTGGGAAGAAGATTTTTAAAGATTTTACCTTTATATTTCTATGTAAAACTTGGATTTCCTATTGTGGCCCCACCCTACCCCCGGGGGTCAATATTTTAACAATTTAATATCTACACTACCCAAGGATGCTCCCACATAAGTTTCAGCTTTCCTGGCTCAGTGGTTCTTGAGAAGAAGATTTTTAAAGATTTGTTCTATATATTTCTATGTAAAACTTGGATTCCCTATTGTGGCCCCGCCCCAACCCCAGGGGTCATGATTTTAACAATTTAATATCTACACTACCCAAAGATGCTTCCACATAAGTTTCAGCTTTCCTGGCCCAGTGGTTCTTGAGAAGAAGATTTTTAAAGATTTGTTCTATATATTTCTATGTAAAACTTGGATTCCCTATTGTGGCCCCACCCTACCCCCGGGGGTCACTATTTTAACAATTTAATATCTACACTACCCAAGGATGCTCCCACATAAGTTTCAGCTTTCCTGGCTCAGTGGTTCTTGAGAAGAAGATTTTTAAAGATTTGTTCTATATATTTCTATGTAAAACTTGGATTCCCTATTGTGGCCCCGCCCTACCCCCGGGGGTCATGATTTTAACAATTTAATATCTACACTACCCAAGAATGCTAACACATAAGTTTCAGCTTTTCTGGCCCAGTGGTTCTTGAGAAGAAGATTTTTTAAAGATTTGTTCTATATATTTCTATGTAAAACTTGGATTCCCTATTGTGGCCCCGCCCTACCCCCGGGGGTCATGATTTTAACAATTTAATATCTACACTACCCAAGGATGCTTCCACATAAGTTTCAGCTTTCCTGGCTCAGTGGTTTTTGAGAAGAAGATTTTTAAAGATTTGTTCTATATATTTCTATGTAAAACTTGGATTCCCTATTGTGGCCCCACCCTACCCCCGGGGGTCACTATTTTAACAATTTAATATCTACACTACCCAAGAATGCTAACACATAAGTTTTAGCTTTTCTGGCCCAGTGGTTCTTGAGAAGAAGATTTTTAAAGATTTGTTCTATATATTTCTATGTAAAACTTGGATTTCCTATTGTGGCCCCGCCCTACCCCCGAGGGTCATGATTTTAACAATTTAATATCTACACTACCCAAGGATGCTCCCACATAAGTTTCAGCTTTCCTGGCTCAGTGGTTCTTGAGAAGAAGATTTTTAAAGATTTGTTCTATATATTTCTATGTAAAACTTGGATTCCCTATTGTGGCCCCGCCCTACCCCCGGGGGTCATGATTTTAACAATTTAATATCTACACTACCCAAGAATGCTAACATATAAGTTTTAGCTTTTCTGGCCCAGTGGTTCTTGAGAAGAAGATTTTTTAAAGATTTGTTCTATATATTTCTATGTAAAACTTGGATTCCCTATTGTGGCCCCACCCTACCCCCGGGGGTCATGATTTTAACAATTTAATATCTACACTACCCAAGGATGCTTCCAAATAAGTTTCAGCTTTCCTGGCTCAGTGGTTCTTGAGAAGATTTTTAAAGATTTTACCAAAATATTTCAAAGTAAAACTTGGATTCCAAATTGTGGCCCGTCCTACCCCCGGGGGTCATGATTTTAACAATTTAGTATCTACACTACCCAAGGATGCTTCCACATAAGTTTCAGCTTTCCTGGCTCAGTGGTTCTTGAGAAGAAGATTTTTTAGTGACCCCACCCTATTTTTGTCTTTTCTTGATTATCTCCCCTTGTAAGGGGACTTGGCCCTTCATTTTAACAATTTAAACTCCCCTTCACCCAAGGATGCTTTGTACCAAGTTTGGTTAAAATTGGCCCATTGGTTCTTGAGAAGAAGTCGAAAATGTGAAAAGTTTACAGACGGACGGACGGACGGACAGACGGACAAAATGTGATCAGAAAAGCTCACTTGAGCCTTCGGCTCAGGTGAGCTAAAAATGTAGAAAAATACTGTTTATTAAACGGCTGGTAAACTCCAGATATCTAACAATATTTTATTAAATTTTTGCTACATTTATTCTATAACTTTGATTATAACAGAGCTCAAATTAAACAAATTTAACTGGAAGAAAATGCTAATGTTCAAAACTTGCCCCACATGTGCAAAATTAGCCCACATGTGCCAAAAAATGTTTAGACCTGGAAAAAAACATAAAGACCAAAGCTGATATAATACAAATTGGTGCCTTCCTGTTTCATCAAAACCAAACATATTGATATGTCATTTCTAAAAATAAAATGTCACGGTTCAGCAGGCAGGACAGTGACACTCCAGTGAACACATAACCGTAAATTGACGAGAAGAATGTTCTCATGAATTCATGGAAATATAACCCACCTCTCCAAAATTTGACATCTGTGCAAAATGTGAACACATGAACAAAAATTAGGCCCAACTCTGAAATCATACCAGTTGGTGCTTTCCCATTTACATCTAAACAGAACTCATTGATATGTCATCTATATGAATAATATATAATGCCACAATTCATCAGGCAGGACACGGTCATGCTCCATTGAATTCCAAACAGCCATGTGACTTAACGGCAGCTCTTCCTGTTGTACTTGTAACAAGGTGTTTACAGTTCTAAAATGGTGGTCACTCAATACTTGTGGCAAAAATCTCAACCATGGTGTCGCAGTAGAATCGCGTCAGGTCGTTAGATAATGGCTTCCACCCCCGCGATCCACACTCCAGCAGTTCTAGAAGAGTACAGCGCCCCCTAGCTGTCAGTCTGTAACAGTCAGAATTACTAATAAAATATCAAGTTAATATTTAACAAGAGATGTTTGTAAAAAACACTTATGCCCCCCTCCCCCATATAATTGGAATTTTTCAAAGCCCAAGGGGCATAACTCCATCCAAAATGGCTCAATCGTACTCAAAACAGAACATGACCTAAATATCCTTATGATAAATCTGTATACCAAATTTCATTTCAGTATGTGCAACATCTGCAGAGAAAAAGAATGGAAACTGATTGTGGACCAACAGACAGTAGCAAAGCAATATGCCCTCCCTTTTTCGAAGGGGGCCATAATTATTATTTTTTTAATAATCCACTGCTGTAAATTCACAATTCAATTTGTGTGAGTGTGAGTGTAAAATAAAGTGGATTCAAATAAAAAACAGTGGAAAACGTTGATAGTGAAATACAGTCCCTGAAACGTTCTACTTTCCCACCTGAACGGTGAACGAACGGTGAACGAACGCAGAGCGAATGGTGAGTGAACGATGTGCGAACGCTGAACGCAACTTGGTGAACGATATGTGAACGGTAAACAGTGAGTGAACGCAGAACGCAAACCGAGCGCGAACGCGAGCGCAAAGTGAACGGTGAACGAACGGTGAACGCAAGATGAAGGATTTATTCGGAATGCCTCCGATCTTTTCCTTGCATTGAAATTATTCTATTATTCTTTAATTCTAATTTTAGGTGCTTTAATATAAAAATTAACAATAGATTAATATAAAAAAAAAAAATAAATAAATACCGGTAATAAAAACATTTTTACTGTACATATATGTACCTATGTTTCATTTTATAACACGATTTTAATTGCCGTAAAACATGTGTATTTGTTACCGAACGCGTGTAGTTTGAATATAAAATTAATTTATTTATATAGTAAATATGCTTATTCTTTTAACTAATAAAATAATGTGGACTTCAGAAGATAAAACTACTACTTATAGAATGAATTAATTACATTGTACACGGTACATACATGAACGAACTAATTATCGCTTGTATACAAACAATATAGTAAGTCGTACAGTTTTATGTTCTCGTCAAATAGTGTGCCCTATTGTGATAAAACGTACAGTTTAGATGTTTAACGTTTTTTTTCTCTGATGTTCATTCTTGTTTACTGGTTATTGTGGTCAAGATACTTTGAAAATTTTTAAATACACCAAAAATAAATATTTTTTTTTTTTACAAATAAACATTTCTTAAAGCTTCACATAAATATTTCGTCGGCGAATATACATGCACACGACATAATTTTCGGGAATTTGTAGCTCTGAAGCTTAATTTTTAAAATTTCTGCAAATGAAAAATTGATAAATAATTGGTAAAATCATTTTTTAGAGATTTGTAAGCATTGAATCAATGGAAACATAGATATAACTTGTAATTTAAGTCATTTCATGCTGTGTTTTTTTTTCCAATCGTATTCCACTTTCTGCATATTATGAAATCCAATTCAATCAAATTTTACGGTCCAACTATATGTACACCTTCTGATAGAACAAACAAATCTGTTTTCTTAAGTCTGAGAATTACCTAAATAATTATTTATATTCTAAAATATTAAAATAAGTCTTACATGTATTTAGTTCCAGAAAAAGTCAATGAATAATATTTCTTTGAAATCTTAAATCAGTATTACATGTAAGCCGTATTTCGTTTTGAAAATACTACTGTTGGCAAAAATTTATTCTAAAATAATATTGTTTAATGACTGTTTGATGTTGGTTTTAAGACTGATTTTCTTGAGCTACAATACACATTTGATATTAAATAAAATGTACTGAAAATACGAAGAATTTTATTTCGGGAGAAAAGGCACCGGGGGTGGGGGAGGGGGGGGGGGCTTAATTATACTGAATGGCAAACATATATTTTGGTATGGTGAAGGAAGGAATTTTCCCTTTCTAATAAAAGATTATTTTAAAAAGTTGATGTTTTCTAAAATTTAAAACCACACTATCAATTAAATTAGCTCTAAAAATATTTGATTAACTGAATATTTGCAGTACTGTTCATAATTCTAAGACCTACGTGTAGTTTGAAACACATGCTACGGTAGCAATAATTTTTTGTGTATTCATGTCTTGTAAAAGACTTGCATTAATTATAATACATCCATTGGTGATTTGTCATCTTTAACATTACAACAAATTCTTGCCGTGCGTAAAGCATTTGTACATTGCCTTTTTTTAAATTTAATATTTTAGCATCATTCTACATATTACATGAACAGTAGGTACTTAATGTATTATTTTCCAGAGAAATTTCATGAATAAAGTAACAGCTGAGTTACGACAATAAAAATATAAATACCATAGATAATTTTTGCAATGAAATAATTATTCTTCAAACACGATATCTAAGTTATTTAATTAAAAAACGTGTAAATCCTTACCATCAAAAAGATAAGTCCTTTCACTTCAGTGTTCCGAATGACAATAAAGACTGAACGATAAGTGAACGGTGAACGCAAAGTAAACGGAACGAAGAGCAAACGGTGAACGTTTTGTGAATGGTGAACGCAATACTGTGAACAGAGAGCGAACGGTGAACGCACGCTGAACGAACGGTGAACGCACGCTGAACGAACGGTGAACGAACGGTGAGCGAAAGGAAAAATGGGAAAGTAGAACGTTTCAGGGACTGTATAAAACATTGATTAAAAAGAATATATGATGATTCGTGTTGAATATGATAACTCCTTAGATAAAAATCTGGGTTATTAAATTCTGTGTGACCTACCCATCTTTTATGATGCGTGTTCGCACTTGATCAAGCAAAGCAGACATGCGTGGCTGGTCCTGAAGTTCAAGGTCTTTACCAATGCACTGCAGCTACATACAAATAACATGAATAATGCTTCAGTAATTAATCATCAAGTACATGTACATCATTATTAATCAACCTCATCAATAAAGATGTGGTTCTTCTTTTCTTTCAAAATCAATTTTTCTGTAAAATGCACTGAACACAAAATTGCATTAGAAAAGAAAGCAGCTAAACTGAAACTTGACTTTTCAGACTTGTAATGACAGAAAATACTGATAAATGATGAGATTGATGTATTTTCCTGCAATAATATGAGATATTAACCTGTAATAGATAGTTTTCGATGGGCCTAAATTTAGCAAAAGTTACCTCCAGTTGGCCGCCATATTGGAGGTTGACTCGGCGAGTTTTCCTCTTTGTCTTACCAAGTTTAAGAAAATATAGCAGAAACATTTGGTGGAAAATTGTTATCAAATATTTTTTTTAAAATAAAGGAGGCTTCCAAAAATTTATATAAATAATGATTCCTGATTCAAAATCGCAAATATAAAAATTTAAAATTGGTTGAACAATGAAGGAATATGAGCATTTGGACCTCCAGTATGGCGGCCAATGGGAAGTAACTCTTGGTCAATCGAAAACTATCTATAATTAGAGAAAATTATCTGACATGAGATATTAACCTGTTAAAATGACCTGAAATACTGACCTGTAATGACAAACATTCGTACTCATCCTCGGTTGAGGCTTGGTCCTGTAAGATTTGTTCTAAACACTCAAACACGGGAGCCACTAAGGGCTTCATGGTGTCCCCCGTCGTAAGGCGAACATTTCCAAAGACCTGACAGAGAAACGTGACGAATCCTAGGTAACGCTTGTTGTCTGAAGATCTCATCTCCTCCTTTCCTGAAAAAGAAAGTCAACTTAAGTCTATTTTTTTCTGTACAAAATTACATGAATTAAGTGTTGTTATCGGAAATAAATATCACGCACTGTGTTGCTAGTGCAAGTATTTTATTGAATTAATTGGCACTTAGGAGTTTGTTTTTAATACCGTATAAGTAGAATTTTTAGCGAGGATTTAATTTTGGCATTATTAGCGAGGGTCCACATAAAAGAATATCGCTAAAAATACAAGTATGACCCTCTGATATGACAGATAACTCTCAGAGACAGTCAGAGTACAAAACAATTAATCAACTGCTTTTAACATGAAAAATAATTTATGAATTAAGTAGACAATTCGATGAAATCTGACATGCGATGGAAACATTACTTTCTATTTCTTTTGCCAATCTCAGACTAATTGTTTTATTATATCTAACAATAAAACATTTAAATCCTACTTCAAAAGCATTTTAAATTGAATAAGTTGTATTTTTAAAAAGACTATTTTTATAATGGTTTAATGTTTCTAGTACTTACATGTAATACAGAATTTTTAACATTTGACATTTTTTTCATAAAGAAATCTTTAGAAGAAATTAACTCCTCCTCACAGATGTATTTTTTTCATACAACCACATACAACATTGTAATTTTCACGTAGAAAGCATCGCTTCATGATGTTTTCTTACATGATTTTAATAGGTATTATACTAAGTATTATTTTCATATACAACTCATATTTCAAATTAAATGTTATGATAATAAATCGTTACTGTTTCTGTCCTCTATGTTGAAATTTCTTCATATCATGATATGACATAAAAATCATTTCTGAAAAAATAAGCTGCGCTTCTTACATCAAACTATTTTCTATGTGGCTTTAATGTTATTGTTGTTCATGAAAATCAAAATAAGAAATATTAAATTTTCTGAGTGAAATTTGATAGCAGAGGGTCGGGACCCCTTCATTGCATTTTATTTGTAAGAGCTTCTTTAAAATTCATTATAAAATCGCTAAAATAATATTTCGCTAAAAATAGATTACCAGTTTTTAAGGACAAATCGCTAAATTTGCGTCTCGCTAAAATTTCCACTTATACGGTAAGAGATTCTACAATTTTGATCAATTCATGATTTCATAAAAATAGTTGATAAATAGGAGTTTTCATTATCATATTATTCTTTTATAAAGAAATAATGGCTCTTATGAATATCTTATCTGCCAATTACAATTGCCAAAGAACAAAAAATATATGCAAGAACAAAAAAACATAAAATACGATCTATAAATACCCCGTACAATGTACCTTTAAAATCCTCCTGCACGTATCGGAGAATAACATTTCTAAATTTAGCTGTTTGAACCTCAACATTAGACAGTCTATCACAAATACATGCTCCGCATTTGGCAAACTCAAGGTCTTTCAAACTCTTGTCATAAATGCGCTTGGCCACATTCATCACGTGGTCCTCTGTTGACATTGATTTGGACAAGGTGAGGATGTCTTCAAGATTGTCCTCGGTCAGATTAAGGGTCAGCCCCTCCAGGTAGTCCTCGAGTTCCTGTACAGTGCCCCCTGGTGGTGGGGATTCCCCATCCTGTAAAATATAAAACATGGCATTTACTTCGTCTCAATAACCAGTGAAATCTTTAAGGTCAAGATCTAGTAAATGTCCTTAGACTAACTTTTTGGTGCCAGATCCATTATGACGTCATAATCACTTTCAACTTTCTTTTTCCCGTACTTTACGGCTCTAATAGAACTATGTAGAAAATAAAGCATGTTCATGGAATTTAATTTGAAATCACCTGAAAAGTAGTCCGGATACCTATATTAAATTTAGCATTATTTTAAAGAAGAGACCAAGAACATACAAATTACCGTTTTCTGAAAGACTGTAGGCAATCTGGATACATTTTGTTTGTGTGATATGGAAAAAACTCCCATATTCATAACTGGTTTTCTTCATATTTCATTGAAAATGACAGTTTAAAATATGGTTTTTCATCTTATTTTCCAACAAATTATGCCCCGAAACACTTTTTTTGACCAAGCAAAAGTTATAAAGCATCATTAGAGGAATTCATTTCTTGAATTTGATAAATCTGTAGGTACCCTTCATTCACTAGATCTTGACCTTAAGGACATAACGTAACTGTTCACAAAACATAGAAAAAAAAAACAAAACAAAACATGGAATATGAACATGTTCCATGATGATTATTTAATGAAATGTGGAAGATACATGCAGATCAAACCATATTCAATCTTGCCAAAAACATATTAAATCTGACCAAATTCATGTGGATACAGGTGTTATGGTTTGGACAATCAATATAGGCTTGGGTAGCTCAGTCAGTAGAGCACCTGACTAGTGATGCAGGGGTCCCAGGTTGAATTCATGGTCCAGCCTGAGCCATACACATGATACAGACCTATTCACCACGCTTCTTGTTGATGACTGTTCTTTTATTCAACCATTATTTCGCAAATGTGTCTGATTGTCACCTCAACAAGTCACAAGACTCACAATATAAAAGCAGGGATTATAGTCAGAGGAATCTTGGATAATCCAGGCAGTTCCATGCATAAATCGTAACTGAGGAAATTCGGATATTGTCACATGCCATTTACAAGAATGACTAAATGATGGCTTACCTTGGTCGATCCCACATCACCTTCAGGTCCAGGCTTTGACACAGATCCAACTTTAGTGACCAGTAGGCCCCTCCCTCTCCCCCTCCCTCGCCCGACGCTGGCCATGGTGAAAAGTCAACTCGTACGATGGACGGATTGCTTTATGATATTAGCTCGTACGAATACTATTTCCTTTAAATCATAATGAATGTTTTATTTCCACTTCGTGCAAAATCTTTAATAGTCCTGACCAAGGACATACTTTAGTTTGTTCTATTTTATGGTGTGTTTTCATAGTTTGTTCTGTAAATTTCTAGAGTGATTTCATTGATTTTGAGCTAAAAGGGGCATAATTAATGTCCATATGAAGTTTTATCTAAATCTGTTCTGCAAGAAGCATATTAGCAGTTTTACATGGTATTCCTAAATTCTGGGACACAACTGTCTGTTTTAAATACGTTTATCACAAATTATTTTATCATTGATAAAAAATGTTAAAAAGAGATGTGCTTAAGATATGGTCTTGATAAAGACCACATTCAGATGTAAAAAAAAAATTGTTGAAACTATTAATTAGCAAACTTTGAGTTTTTATGGTTTTCGTATTCTCATACATGTATAGAAAATATTTATGTGCATGTTAGTCAAAATTCTGTCAGTAATTTTGACAAAGTCATCGTAGCGGTGACTGCTGTCCCTGTCGACCCTTTGCCGGTGGCTTTGTGTCTGCATTTTAGAAAAGTATTCATAACAGATATATAAGATATAAATGACTATAGAGGAACATTACCATGAAATACATGTATATGGGCTCTAAATTAGAAATAAAATGTTCTGTTCTGTTCTGTTCTGTTCTGTATATGGAAATAATGGATCAAACGTCCATTCAAACAGTGAAAATCAAGTGTAAAGCCAAAACTGAAATCTAAAACATTAGAGGTGGGATCAGGTGCTATGGAGGAGTGAGCTTCCCCTGTCGATCAGTCATACCCTTGTGTACGCCTTGTCATGGCAGAGAAATAATGGAAAAATCCATCGACAATTTAGTGTTTAAAAGTGACCCATAACAATGCATAATGCCAGTCATCAGTTGACTTAACTACAGGTTGTATTTGCTGACAAGGTCATGTGTATCGACCATAGAATTTATGAAATGACTTTAAACGAGATTGTTCATATTCTTATTTCAACTGGTTTGCTAATAACTTACCTCCTCTGAGAAATGGTTGCGTTCACTGCCTCAGGCACCTGACGTTACGTATATTTTTTATATTAAAAAAAAAAAGAAATACCCGTACATATTTGGGTTATTTTTAATATATATAAGACAAATATGTAAAGTCAGGTGCCTGCCTGTGCTTATTAAATCAACTTCATGAGAGATATAAACATCCTAAGCAGGTTTACTTAACAATTTGGTGTCTATTTCTTCTAAAATATCCAGATATGAAACAGATGTGTACGAATTTAATTTCAAGATCATTGCGATATAACTTGATGAAATATGAATGGAAATAACTTAAACCCATTGTTTATTGATAAGTTATTTCGTCGGTATATATCTAAATGTCGAGTTGAAGGCTATAACAAATGAGGCCAAATGGATTATAGTGCTTGTCTATTTATATTTTTCACATAGTGTCAATCTGAATGAAAAGGAAAAACACTTTTTATAATTATTTTATTTTTTAATCAATTGTAAACATGCTCACATTTTATTCTGAATAACAGTTGATAAATGAACAGTGAACAAAAACTGTGTAAATGAAGGTAGAATGACAAAAAATGATGTAAGTGAACCACAGGTCTTTAAATCGCTTAGAAAAAAAATTGAGGTGTTGAAAAATACTTTTTTTTTTTACACACATTTTTTTCCATGCGATCCAAAAGCCTGTGAAGTGAACCATAAATAAAAAGAGGGAATAAATTAACAATTATAATGATTTATAATTAAACAAATGCAAAGGACAATCAAACTCACGAAACACTCATGTCATCAAATATGTACAAAAGGAAACAACTATAAGTAAATATAAAATCAGCAGTTGCCAGGACAAAAAACTCATAACTTAATTATTATACAATACAGTACATGTAGAGTCAAACTTTTCATTTCCAAAATGACCTCGTTATAGTTAAAATATACATTTTATGACTAAACTTCACATCACTGTCATTGTTGAGTTTTACTGTACAGTCCATGTAGAGTCAAACCTTTTATTTAATTCCAAATTGACATCGTTATAGTAAAAATATACACATTTTCTGACTGAACTTATCATCACTGTCATTGTATACTGAGTATTTTTATAATAAGTAATATCAACGTGCACTTCATACATAATTTTTTTTATTCGCTGAATTCTGTTAACTTACATATTATATAATACATGTATACTTTATTCTTTAATCATGTTAATATAAAGTAACATTATATACCTATAAAATTTTTTTGGTACTAACATAATTTTTTTTAAGGACATACAAGGTACATATAATTTTTCAAAATTCTAAATTTAAACTTATAATACCTGTTTGGTTAGGTTAGAGAGGTACATATGTACATGTGTAACTAGGAAAAAAACTTTTTAAAAAAAATTACCAAAAATTACAAAACATAGAGAGATTTTTTTCCAAAATTTGTTTGAGTAATATGTACAAATCTATATATAGACATTAAAATTATTTCAATTCTTTATTACGGGATATTCAAGTTACATGTATATAAATCTATCAACGTTTCTCACTACTTGTTTGGTTAGGTTACAAAGGTATATAATACACATGTATTGATATGTGTAAAAAAACACACATATCAATAAGGTACATAATCATTATACATATTTATAAACTGATATTCAGGGCATCTTTGGTTTCTCATTTACTTTGTATCATATAATCTTTGGAGACTAGAGTACACTTCACGACTGACAAGGTACAGACCAACAATGGACTAATATGTTCTATTAAAATTTACATCTTTGAGTTATTTCATTTGGCATAATATTCCATTGCAAAAGCTTCACAATGAAACTTCAAATATACCAAAGAAATATTTGAAAATCTGAAATTAATTTGTATTTTTAAAAAAATAATAATGCCACAATTAATCCCATTTGCCATCATTTTTCATCAGCACAAAATTAATCACTAGTCTCGTTCAAGTCTCGTTTAACAAGACGCTCGGCTGCCCGTCGGAAATTTACGGAGACTGCCTAATGACTTAGGGACGTACACGTTGATTAATGCAACAAGGAAAGGTTTCTTCGGAAACAAGCTGAGGTGTTCCGAGTAATGGGACCAGGAAGTGATGTCACAATACACAAATGAGATTTTTTCCCTCCAGCATTTCCTCTTCCACTTTTCTGCTGGTTGTGGATCTGTCCGCGGGAACAGACAAAACTGCCGCTACAAACACGAGTACCGTGGCAGCTATCCCGAGGTAGTAAGACCAACCTTCATTATAAATATAAAATACCAGATATAAATTAATTAAGTAAAAATAATAATGAAACTTGGTATATATGCATGAAGGAACAGATTTAACAGAGGTTTACCGTCCTTTTGTTGACACATAAAAAAGATTTTGCATTGATGATATTCAAAATATATTGCAAACAAAATTTACTACAAACAAGTTTAACAATACAAACAATCAAATTGTTATTAATCAGAGTACGAGTTGTCTCTCTTACCAAAGGGTCTAAGAAACCTTAATTCTTCTGATATTATAAGCCTTTACTTTGACTCAATCTTATTTCTGCAAATGTACATTAAATTTTAATCAATATAATTTATAAGTGAAATAACTTTTGACAAAAAAGTATTATTTTAGTTTGTCGGATTTCTTCTTTAACTTTGTTGGATTGTTTGTGCATTTTTTTTTTTTGATTATCAATGTAATTTTTTCAGTTGTATATGTGCATTGTTCTTAAAATAGAACACACTATTACCCAGTTGCAAAAACTGCTTTCACCGTTTACTTAACAATGGTGCAAATGAACTATAGTTTTTTTGTACATGCACTCACCTATGGTACAATTATCTATAACGTAAGGTTCGGCATATTCTCCACAAAGATCCCGCACCCTTTTGGTGCCCCAGCCAGTAGGGTATATAACCAGAGCAATCACGGAAAATAGACCTGGAAAAATTAAAAGTAAGGATTAAAGTAAATCTGACCATATACAGTTGAACCTCGTTTTCTCGAACATCAATGTCTCGAATACAAGAGATATGTCGAAGTAATAGTAGACAGTCCCAGCCATGCAAGCTTTTATTCAATTTTTTACTCTCGTTATCTCGAAGCTTCAGATATCTCAAAATTTTATTTTATGTAGTCCCGTCGAGATTATTTGATCGAGATAACAAGATTCAACTGTACAAAGAAAACAGTAAGAATTAGCACTGATTTTCTACCTTTTTTTCAAAATTATTCAAATTAATCTTTCACGCTCATAACCAAGGTCATTTTATTATCAATCTAAAATCCCTTGTATATTAATGTCTTAATCGGGTTGACAGACTGTGAGAATACAAAGAAAAATAGAAAGAAGGTTGATTTTATATAATAAAACGTTTATATATAGGTTTTATTCACATTGAAAGAGTGTTGCTATAAATATTTACCTCCAATACTTTGTATAAATCCTGCAACTGTAAATATACTTTTTCCACAAATTGATCGGACAAACAAACTCAGTACAGAACACAACATGGAAAAGAGCAGAAGAGTTCCGGCAATACCGAACAATATCACACAGGCCTTCCACGCATGCGGGAAAAAATCGTCCGCTGCAGAAAACGACACAACGAATGTAGCACAATTATCCCTGACTTTGGCGATTTGGAAGTCTAACTGAAGTTTTGTACATCTATTAAATATTCCTAATGTTGGTCTGAAAGTTTCCGAGTCCATAAAATCTTCCGAAGCATTCATCAATTTAATGGCAGTTTCTCGAGGAGTTCCGATCATCCAGTGCGGGGAGATAACTGCGGCGACAGTTGCCAAGGTTACAGTGACACTTAAAAGCGTCCATCCCAAAGAACGGCACGTGACTATGACGTAACACATGATATCCTCCAGATGAAAATCAAAGTTCGTGTTCGATAAAGTTTACTTCCTGAAAATAAAAAAGAAACAAATATATATTAAATACGGTATATATTTATACTACCTAATAATACTAAAAGTCAAGTTTTGTTAGATTACAAAAATTGAAAATTTTGTTTCCAAGCTTATCTGATTTACAAGTTAAATATTTACTTTTAACTGATGGATATCGTCTTAAGGTACCCTTTTCATTAAGTGTATGTGTGTGTGCGGGGGGGGGGGGGGGGGGGAGTCATATAATATCCTAGAAAAAAAACCAGACATGGGAGTTTAACAAAATACCATATGAAATTAATTTTAGAATTACACCCAGGATCTTCAAGGATCAGTAATACAGGCGCCCTGCAGAATTTTCACGCCATATTTTAATCCGCTTTTATTTTGATCGCCTCTCAATTCTGATTCTTTAAGAAATGTACCTGTGTATCATAAAATGATTACAAGATCATTAAGCGCCCAATGTCAAACAAACCCGGGTCTGGCATCAAGTGGTCTAAATCGGCTTATCTAATGATACGCAGCTTATGCAAACCGTTCACTAAATCAGTTTTCATTGTTATTGGCCAATCTTTGACCAAAATAATCGACGGGCTCTCTGATCGGTTTCGAGAACCCAGTGTCCTTAAGATCTGTCTGTTTGTATGTGAAAGACGGGGGGGGGGGGGGAGGTTCACATGAAAAAAAAAATTACTCTGAGGTTTTTTTTTTGTCTTTGCAATTTGGGACACGTTGCATTTTCCATTTGTATACCCTAAATACTCTTCGCAAATAAATATTTCAAAGAATCTGAGATAAGGCGTCGACTATAACCTCAGCCAATATTATAAACATGACAAACAAGACACACATTCCACACGTAGATGTTTAATTAGAGAAGCCTTTGTTGTGATTAAAAAATCTATCATCATCACCGCTGCTATCACCCCGTGAACAGATCCTGGCAGAGGTTAAGGAACCCTGCTCTCGCCCTCAGATTTCCTCTAACCAATTTGATAACATGGATACCCACGGATAACGTGTCTTCAGCTTTCTTACAATCTGCAACTGTGCTTGAATAATTTTGATGGAGTTTTTTGTTATGGAGCGAATCTAAGGAAAGTCCCTAAGCTTTCCCTGATGAACACCAACCGTATTATCATGAATATCGATCTGAAATTTGTTTGCATATCTCCATCCAGCCTGTATATATGTTTTCCTGTTTTAGAGAGAGAGACGAGAGGGAGAGAGAGAGAGAGAGAGAGAGAGAGAGAGAGAGAGAGAGAGAATGAGAGAGAGAATGGATAGAGAGAGGAGAGAAAGAGAGAATAGGAAGGGAATGGAGAGAGAGAATGGAGTGAGAGAGAATGAATAGAGAGGAGAATGGGGGATCGAGAGAATGAGAGAGAGGGGAGAGAGAGACGGAGAGAGAGAGAGAATGGATGGATGGAGAGAAGGAGAGAGAATGGATAGAGAGAAGGGAGAGAGAATGGATGGAGAGAAGGGAGAGAGAATGGATAGAGAGACTCGCTGAGATCAGAATCTGATTGAGGCTGTAACATCACAGACAGCTGTGAGATAACTTGGATTACCGTTACAGCTATGATAACACGATGAACACGGTCGACAGCCACCACCATTACTCATTATCACAACACTCGCGGCAGATGGTGCGCGCCCCTCCCCGCTGTTTTCCGATCATACTTGGGGTATCATAATTCGGCGTCCCCCTGTCTCGTACATATTCTCTTTGCCAAAAATTTGTATTTTCCCATTTCGCCATCAAGATTTTTTCCTCGGTGTTTTTCTGGGTTTCATTGGAACGCCATTTGCAGTGTTTTTTGCAGAATTATATATACTCCTAGTGCATCTTCCAGGTTAATTTCTGGTAATAGCTCTGAATTATAGACACTTGATGTTACATATTCTTCATATTAAAAAAAAAATAAATCCATAACTAATTATAAGGTTGGGAGTAATTTTTTATATACATGCATGTAAAGCCTGTGCTTTGAATAATGTCGCGGAATACTAGTAAATGGTGAAAGATATATTTACATAGATTTTTATAATGACACCAAGGATATGTGAGTGTTCGTTAAAAATGTTTTGTATTCTAATTTGTAAATAATACTGACTTCTTAAGTTTTCATTTAAAATTATAATCTCTAAAACTTATAAACAAAAATCCAACAATGCTATGGGATAAAAATATTAAGACATTTATTCAGCTATAAAAAAGGGGGAGGTTGCTAACAGTGTTCCTCTACAACTTATTTGATACATGTAGTTTGTCAGCCTGTGTAGAGTTTATATTTTCACATTAAAAAAAAAATCTTTAAAAAGCACTAAGGGCCTAATCTTAATTGCAGTCTTGGCTTTTATCGAGATGTTTTCAACTCATTAATCAGTAATTAGATTCAAAGTAACGCTACTGTTTTTGCTTAAGACCCACCCTCACCCCTTGACCTATGCAAAAGGCAATATAATGCCATCGAGTGAAGGTAACCTAAATTAGTTATAACCACCCCCTCTCCCTCTATCCCCAACCCAAATATATCACCACACCCCAACTCCCAAAGTCATAATCCCAGATAGGGATTATTTAATTAAATAAAATATATATATCAGACGATGCTACTGATTTTCTAAAAGAATTTTTCTGCAAGGCATGCAATTACACCGTGGATAAAAGATAATAAAACCTGTACTTATGATATCATTTTTGTAAACGATAAAAGAGCTGCATGATTGACTACGCGTCACAAATCAAATACCAGGGTATATATATACAGTGCACTGTCGATCGCATGAAAGTACATTAAGAGGGAAGTTAATATATGAAAAAAAAAATCTTCAAAAGGTTTTCATTTCGTCCTTGAATTTACCTTAAACCGCCAGAGTTATTCTTTTACTTTAAATCCGCCACAAAAAACGTATACCTCATCCTTAACGAACCCTTAATGAGCCAGAAAGTAAATGGAGATATAATTAATTTTTCTCTCTCATCCTTCACAAAGCCCAATGGCTACTGATCAAAGCTTAAATTACAAAAAACTTCCTGAGTTTGTTAATAGAACACACTTTACTTACATGTACATGATGTACTGCGGAGGAACATGTCGCTACAGAAGTTATAACTTATAAGACGTCCTCTTTAACGAATACATACGTGAAGTAACCCCTTAACAGATCAAATTCTCTATTGGATTCATGATTAAACACATTTACATGTTAATGAATGTAAACCGCCGGTAGGCTTTCAGTGTATAAGTATCTTAATTTACGACACTCCCTGACTTTAGGTTAAAGCAGTGCGCGCGTCTTTTTGGTATAGAAATTGATTAAGTATGAATAATGTATGTAAACATTTCATGTCATCGTTTTATTATGCTGAGAAAATATTCCGAGGCGTGAAGAGTCGTAACATTTACTGTGAAGTATTAAGTACCTCTCGCTTGCCCCCGAGAGAGAGAAAAAAAAATATGCCTCGACCTTTCAGCTTCAGACAAAATGATAAATAGCCACAGTGACCAGAAACACATACACACAGCACTGACATGTGTAAAAGAGAGATACCAGTACAGCAAAAACTGGATGATGCATAAACATACTTGTATCATGTTTCTATATAAAAAAAAAATAAATGTTACATTTAAACACCGCGTTTATACATAACTTAAGGACGCACTTACCTGGGCTAGACGTAATTTTAAAATTCCACGGGAGTCAAATTATTTACAACCTCTAGCGGATACACGCACGTGTGAAAACAGGTGGTCCCAGCGCATCATCCTGCACGCGCATCTGTTCTCGAACATGCATTATTAATTGCTGAATATGAAAACTCTCTGCTACAAACGATTCACGCACATATAATTGTGAGATTTTTGAGAATGGGCGATTCCAATACTCAAAGAGATGGGGGTGTTTGCATGAAGAAGAGGCAGCTCAATAGTTACTTTGATCGAGATTCACTAAACATATATTATTCCTACTTAAAGAGACCGTCAAAGACACACTTAAAACGCTTAAATTTGTCACAGAAAATTACATAAGAAATAAAAGTGGAATCAAATTTTATTAAATGTTCCTTTAAAGCCGATATGCGTCAATATCTAGCCTTAGTAATTTAAGATCTCTGATACATTAACAGTTTTTAACACATACAAGATTAAAACTTTATGATAATGTTACGGCCATAAACGTGTCCATAAATTTAATCTTCGATCCACTCATATAATTCGCTAAACAAATATATGCATTACATGTACAAAACAAACACAGACCTCACAAACATCAGAGTGGGATCAGGTGCCATGGAGGAGTGAGCATACCCTGTTTGTCCGCCAATCTACATGTACATTATTCTGCCAATACTGTGAATCACTTTTTTTGCATGAGAAATTTATTTTACCGGAATTACACAAGACAGCGTGCTCGCAAAAATTTGATTCTCGCCTATGAAAATTTTGTCTCGCTTATCAAGAGCCAATGCGCGATAATAAGGAGTCTCGAAAATGTTAGCGATCATCACCTACGATTCGTCATTCTGTCTGTCTATAACACTTTCGTTTCCTTGAAAAAAGTCCTTTATTTTTGCAATACAAGATTTTATATCATAATTCCCGATCGATGACTTGAAGAAGATGCCATGCAGTTGACTTTGGGGATCAAAAGCTAAAAGAAAAAGGTTACAAATCCATATAAGTCATGAAACGGTGCTCTTTAATTTCCGGATTATATAGCTTTTGGAAAATACTTGACTTTTTTATCATTAGTCCTAGTCGCCCGCGTGGCTTAGCGGTTAGAGCGTCTGCTTTATAGTCGCGAAGTAGAGTTGATCTTTGAGAGAATTTGCAATGTAGTGGAATTTTGAGAGCGCTGGCTTTTACAGTTGACGGCTAACTTTCACATGAAATCCGAAAAACCGCCCTATACCATCAAATACCGCCCTCAACATGTTATTACCCCAAACACCATGCCTATGACCACTAGCAAGGTTTTCTGATCTATTATCAATTCTGTACCTCCGTATATTACAAAGGTTTAAATGTCAAAGTAAACCGTATAAACTGGAGAAGTCAGTGCTTCTCGCAAAAATCCAGTACTGAAGACATGAATTCAAAGAAAAAATATCTTTCTTGCTTTTACATTGATATCTTTCCTCTTGTAAAACTTAAACATGTATTTAATTTTGTAACTAAAGCATGGCAACTTTGAATTTCTTCTAAATAATCATTTTCAAATTAAATACATTATTTTCCGAGGCAAGAAAACTGACATTCAAATCAAAGCATCCAATCGCAAGCTTAATTTCACATGATTGACAGGGGTTCCGAGACCAGGTAAATTTGAGGGAGGTGCTTTTTTCCTCACCCTTTAAACAACAAAAGTACAGCCGTCTTGGAAATAAAACACAACTAAGGGTTTATTCGTACACTGACGTTTTATTTTTTTAATCAACGAAATACATCAATGTACATATACATATATAATAATGTCATCATGTAAATCAAGAAAAAAATAGTTCATTGGATAGATGCGTTATGAAAATATGATTTCATTTTGAAACTGACCAATCAGAATACGTAATACATGGCCCTGTTTGGTACAGACAATACAACGGTGTGTAAAATTACTATAATGAACAAATGCAAGTCACAGGGGAGGTAATCCACTAAGAAAAAATAGCAGCACGTTATAATAAAACCGATTGGCAAAGACATGTAATGCTTGTAAATAATTCCAATATAACTTGACCTTCATTTCTTCTATGCTTTTAATGCAAGCAAAAGTTACATGTTATTGTACTGCAATACAACATAAAATATCTTGTAACAAAATTACATTTTGCTGTTGTAACCTTGAGGCAACTTATTAATTGAAAATTTTGACCTTCTAAATTAACAGGTCATTTGATGTCATGACCTTTTAAACTGACATTTTAACGACCCTAACAAGAGTGGGAAGAATAATTTCTTAAATTGGTGAAATAAATGAAAAAAAAAAATTGGGATGTTTTACATTAGTCCGTAAAATCTGACGTTTTCCTGGCTTTTTTTTTTATGATTTTGATTTTTTACATGCCAGGTTTTCCTGGCATGTAAAATATCAAAATCGTAAAAAAGCCAGGAAAACGTCACATTTTTCAGACTAGTTTTACATGTTCATTAGTCATTTCAAATGATTAAAACAATTATTTATTTTTCCTTCTCCCCAATGTTAGTACATCAACAAACAAACAGGACATAATATTACATGCATCACAAATAATTTTTTATGTAAAAGTAAATGCAGGTAGGCTACAACATTCTTAAAGAAATTCATATGAAAATATTCATACTTTCAGTTTCAAAAACAAAACTGTTTATTGATATTCACTTTTGTAGAAGTCTCTACAAAAATGATTTAGTTTAGGACACATCAGAATGGAAACAAATGATATCAATTTTGGAACAAGCCTGTACCTGAAGGTAAGAAATGCTAGGATTACAATGATATCAATTTTAGAACAAGCCTGTACCTGAAGGTTAGAGATGCTAGGATTCACTACTATATATGAAGACAGAGGTTATGTCAGTATAGAATTAAACATGAAATATGGCAGCTACGAATGGCAGGGGATACTTCTCACACCCCTTCTTATACTACGACGAAAAAATCTCCAACGTATTACAAATATTGATGATGGTGGAAACAACGAAATGTTATTACTGTATACAGGGGAATTTTTTCCCCCTATTTTATTTCGCCCCTTTCCCCCTACTCTTGATTTGGCGAATTTCAAACAGGGCAAATTTAAAGAATACAGTACAATTTCTTTAACAGAACTGTGACTGGACGAATTTAAGATGGGGCAAAATTGTGTAAAATTGCAAGCATAAAAGGGCAAAAATAACCATGTATACAGTATTCTTATTTTTACATTAGAATTGAATGATGCAAAGCGATAACACATTTTTTTTTTTATATCTCTCTGCGATGGCTTGATGCCCCCACAAACACTCTTATGATTGTAATACAGAGGGGTGGATCTTATTTCTATAAGGCTGAGAAGCTGTGATTATGATGTGGAATCCCCCATTTAATAAAACAAACTCTTCTGGAGTAACAATTCCTGGCAAAGCTTATAAAAAGAAAAATAAATTGGACATCTTCACTGAACTCAGATGTGTATAATTTTTTTAACATGGACTACTGATTAAGAACTTCAAAGGGATTTTTGTCCTTTTATCTGGATACTTCAATAAGGATTCTCTTTTTTTAAGAAGAAGATTATTTACATGTACCTTTTCTTTTAGAATGGAGATTGAAATCACTGGATAAAGTTTGCCAGGTTTTATTATACATTTAGCTTGTTATTTATTAAATGGGACTAATTATTACATCATTTTGAATATGAATGAAAAATATGTGGATAAAACACTGACTAATGATTGACACATGATTTTGGTAAAGTCTGTACACAAATTTTTTTGGTATGCTCTGTACATATTTACACATTTATGTGCACAACTGAATTGACCAAAATAAAAGTAAAAAATGTATTCCTTAACAAACACATTATACATAACAAAGTAACAATCAAAATAAATCTTAACAAAAATATCGGATGAAATACAAATGACACGTGTGACTTTGCACTATTGTATACAGTGTATAACAAAAATCGTCTTCAACACAATTTAAAATTTTCAGTCATCTCTTATAATAACAATATTGTACTGTCCTTTCTTTCACAAATTTTTCATATCTTTTTTTCTTTACAGCTGCCAATTTAGTCAAACAACCCTATACAATTTACTGTCCTGATAAAAAAAAACTTAATTTGATGAATTTTGTTACCCCCCAAAAAGAGTCACCTTGGGTTTTTCAGCCAAATTTATATTTCTATCAAATACAGAAAATAATCCTCTATGCAATAAATGGTGGTCAACATACAGGTTTTTTTTTGCTTAATATATTATTTTAAATATACAATTTCTATTTAAAGAATAAATCTCTTGGAAACCTCTCTTATTCCTCCCCAAATATCTTTAATATTTTGTACTAGAATTTAAAAAAATTCCATTTCACTATAAAAATGAACAAGATTTCAATTATGTTAATTTCTTTTAAAATTATGTTTCAATGATTCCAACATGAACAAATATGGATTTAAAGCTGATTTTTTTTTTCTCACTATTTACACATAACATAAAAGCTTGCTACAAATATGGAATCCCCTGATTAGGTAAATGCTGCTCAAATTTCAAACTGCACTGGCAGGATACTTGCAAGGAAAAGAGGTGTTACTGCTATTTTAGTTCTTTAACTTTAAGGTTGCATGACCCTCTGATAAGAGAGATAACTCTTTCAGGAATTTATGATAATAATTTCATCTTTAAAAAAATGTCAAAAGTAGTCTGTAAAATTATAATGTAACAGTTTTTCTTGGAATTTCTTTTTATAACTTCTTCATGAGTCAATAGAATGAAAACAAATTTTACAAAATTCCACGAATAACAACAGACACCCCCCCCCCCCTTTCTAAAAAGAATTTTTTTTATTACTGGATTATAGTTACTTCAAAGAGTTCATTTCCATTTTTTTTTTCAGTTTTAAAATGAACTGTAGAACAAACTTGATAAATGAGGTAATACTTTTTCACCACAAAAAAATTATTAAAATATAAGCACTGTTTAACCTAAGATGAGTTTGAAAATATTAACTATATCCTGTTAAATAAAAAAAAAATATTTCAAGAAATTAAGCTATTCAAACAACCATACCATCTGCCCTAAAACTGAGGAAGAATGCTAAATAAATTTCCCCCCAAAACATAATCACTTTCAGGTATTGAGATAACATGGATTGAGTTTCCCAAATACACAACAGAGCATGCTAATGGCAGTATAATTTCTTTTCTCTTTCCTTTTCTTTCACAGCTTCAAACAATATTGCTCAAAAATACTGGCAACAGAAGTTTAATTGACTATTTGCAAAGAACATGTGTGAATACATTTAAAAATAAAAAAAAAAACAACAGATAGAAATATGGGCACATCGACTCCCCTTGCTTTATACCTATAATGTGAGCGAAATAAAAATGACAATAGAATAAAAACAACAATAAACATCTTTTGATTCCAACATTTTATAATACAGCATTCCTAAAACATAACAACCCAAATCATCATTCAATTATTTCCTGAGGGATGAAAAAATAAGGGGAGGGGATAACAAAACTGACTTTTTTGTATTACAGATGCAATTATGAACTAATTCAAAAATCATACATATTTCATCTAAAACTAAAATTTAAAATTCTGAAATTAGCCATCTCCAATGTAATTTTCTGCTTATTTTCTTTCTTTTAAAAAAGATGGGGAATAATAATAAAAATACTGAAATGCATAAAAAAAAAATCAATGTTGTGGGATTAGAATCAGCCAAGCCATACTATACCCACAGGATTGCCTTCACCGAGTTTGTCAGGCCAACTCATGCCACGTTATTTTTCTATACATACATCTCTTTTATTTTAAATCTACAGGTTCTGCAAATCAACTTTTTACACATAACAACTTTCTTTCTTTTTTTTTTTTTACCAGTAAAACTAGCACTGTTGTTTTCACAAAGATTAAGGTTCAGCATTCTTCTATTTACTTCCAAAAAAAAAACAAACATTTTAAACAAGAACAAAGTTCCAACAGACATCTTATATGTATTTTAATTGAACTAACTTTCAGATTTTTTGCCGAATTAGCTTTTTTACTCAATAATTTTATACAGGAATAAACATGACTTATACAAGGGAAAATTATCCCCCTTTTTTTGAAGGTTAATGAACCTTAAATGTTTTTTTTTTAATTTTAAACTGGCAAAGCACACTATATGAAGTAGCATGATTAAAAGTTGATTTGCAGAATACCATATATAATAAGTAATTAACACTTCTGTTATATATCTATATATAGTTTTCTACTATATTGAACATGCTATGCACAAAATCAGAAGTAAAAACAATCATATCAATAAATGTTCAAAAATATGACATATGTAATTCAGTCAAAAACAAGCTTTTCTTAAAATCAAGTAAATTTCTTCAAGACAATTCCAGTGAAGCCCATTTCTATACTCTTCTCTAGGAATTGCCGATCAACATAAGCACAATGTTGTTACTTTTTCAATATAAATGAACAAATGTTGTTTTCTCAAAAAACATATTCTAACATTTGACTGAGGACTCTATGAACCTTCTAAACCTTCCACACTGAAGAGTTCCTTGTGAAGGGCAGGGAACTCCACCTCTGGATTGGCCTGTTTATATTTATTGAGAAGCACTATGTGTTGTGAGCTAAGCTGTCGTAATGTCCATGTTAGCTGCATTAGGCGTGTGAGGAGGTTCTCGTCCGTGTGCGTTTTTATCAGCTCCTGTTTTAACGCTGTCAGAACTTTTTCGTTAAGTTTTTGAACATCGGCTATGTCCTTTAAACCTGGACGATCTGTGTAAAACATGAAGAAATTTTTAGTTGTAAATCTCACATTTCCTTCTTGCAAAGACACAAACATTTTAAATGGTAACATGTGCTTTTCCTGTTGATTTGCAATGATATTTTACTTGGTAACTGCATTTTTTTTTCAACATTTAATGCACAGAAAAAAATATCCAAACAATAAAACATTACAACTGATCATTTCATCATTTGAAATGGTACTTAATATATGCACAAATTTAAGCACCCTGTGTCATAAGTTGCAAAGTACATGCATGCTTAAATTTCTGTTCCTTAATCTTGGGCTATAAAACTGAGATGAATCCAGTCTAACTTTAAACAATAAATTCCTTTATTGCATTAAGGTTCGTTGATACTCTAATAATATAGATAACTCTTAATGACATAAATGTCTATTATGCCTTTATATATTTTTCAAGTTGAAGTGTCCAATTTTGCCCCACAAGCTATGTTACAATTGTTTGTATTTTCCATATAAAAAATATTTCTTTTGAAAAATCACTAAGGTTCAAGCAACATTTTATATGAATGACAAAGTATTCAGGAAACCTTAAAAATCAAGCACAATGAGGTTTTATGTCGGGAAAACAAGGTACAGACTTACCTGCCCTGATGAGAACCACCGCGCTGAACAAGGCAATCTCACTCTCTGTCAACTTCATCTGTTTTATGGTCCGCACAAACTCAAACACACGGTCACGTAAATGGCACTCTTCTTCATCTGGTAAAATAGAGAATCCTTATCTTATACATGTACAGAGCTGTCAACATGTAACATGAAAAGTTGTAAAGAGGGCCAGAGGGGCAAAAAGTCTCTGACATAAAAGGATTTTTTTGTAAATGGATTTTCCACTTTGTTAACTTTGAAAGCATTTATAACTAATATGGATGCTGTACATTATTTTTTTATGAACATATTTATTTACCCAGTAATAGAAAATAATGAGTAATTAACATGTTGTAACAAAAAAGGCAAACCTAAGCCAAGAAAACCACTTCAAGATATTCAAAGATACAAGATATTGAGGGCAAAGAAGTTTAAGAATAGAAGTTGAGAATTCCAAATCACCTGTGCATACCCATGAGGCATACCCATGATTTGCAAGATATGCTTTTTTGAGATACAGAATATGAAGTGTACATATAATGGTGCTTAACTGGAATACTTACTAAAACTGCTAAAAACAGAGAGAGGTACAGTGGCATTGCCGAAGATGATACTGTTTGTCTGTTCATCATAAACACGACAGGCACGGATTAGGGCCAACTCAAAACTTCCTATATTGTAGAACAGAAAAATAGTTGTGATGTTATGTACAGTACCAGATTATTTTTTCATGTATTTAACAATCATACATTCATTAGTAATGTTGTGACTAATTATCAAAACCATTAATTAGCACTGTTTGTGCTTACATTCATCACTTGTTAGTGAACAACAAATTTTACTGATGATTATTAATCTGAAAATGATAAATGTAGATATGAATATTGCTGAGTCAATGTACAAATAAACATTAATAAACAGAAACTTTATTTTTTTTTTATACACACTGTTTTTATACTTGTTTCTATGAATTTTCCACAAACTTTATACTGAACAGAGCCTCTCTTTACATTTGATCCTCTGAGTACCTTGAAGCATTGAAATATTTTGATCCACCCCCAGAATTTGAAGAAACCTTGATCCATCCCTAGCATTTCAAGAATGACAGATCCACCCCTCACCTGCTTTCAGCAGCATGATCTGATCGTCCTGAGAAAGATCCATGAACCCGGGCAGCATTTTGGCGAACTCAATGATCTGTTGTACAGCGATGGTAATCTTCTCTGCCACTTCTGACAACAGCTGACTTCTGCTCTGTTTAACATAGATCGATAGAATTAACAAATAAAATATGGAAAACATCAAGCATTGTCTACAATGTTATGGTTAGACAAACTTTTGATTGGCAAGGTTCTATAATATAGAGGTAGGACTACGTACAGAATAATGTTTTCCCTCCTGTATAAAAATTTCGATTGAATTAACTGATTTACTACAAAGGAATCTCTATTTTGAAGCTTTTAGTTTCATCTGTGAGCTATTATAATAGACAAGTGCAAAATCATCTAATTCAAAGGTTACTTCACCCAATCAACTTCTTTTATTCTGAGGTGATCCAAATAATCTGATAATCTATTTATGCGATCAACTTCTCATGTAATTTCAAAGGCATCTAATCATATCATGGAAAGATATGCCATACAAGAGATATCTACATACCATAGATTTGAAGGCGTTTATGAGGTCCTGAGGTGTTAGTCTGGATTTGAGATATCTACTTACCATAGATTTGAAGGCATCTATGATGTCCTGAGGTGTTAGGCTGGATTTGAAATATCAACTTACCATAGATTTGAAGGCGTTTATGAGGTCCTGACGTGTTAGGCTGGATTTGAGATATCTACTTACCATGGATTTGAAGGCGTCTATGATGTCCTCAGGTGTTAGGCTGGATTTGAGATATCTACTTACCATAGATTTGAAGGCGTTTATGAGGTCCTGAGGTGTTAGGCTGGATTTGAGATATCTACATACCTTAGATCTGAAGGCGTCTATGATGTCCTGAGGTGTTAGGCTGGATTTGTGATATCTACTTACCATAGATTTGAAGGCGTCTAAGATATCCTGAGATGTTAGGCTGGATTAGTGATATCTACTTACCATAGATTTGAAGGTGTCTAAGATATCCTGAGATGTTAGGCTGGATTAGTGATATCTACTTACCATAGATTTGAAGGTGTCTATGATGTCCTGAGGTGTTAGGCTGGACTTGAGATATGTACTTACCATAGATTTGAAGGCGTCTATGATGTCCTGAGGTGTTAGGCTGGATTTAATGTGCTCTATCTGGTCTTTACTGTATAAACATGTCCTCATATGGGCTTCTGTTACTGCCTTCCCAAGCATCACTGTTAAGCGAAATAAATTCATTATACATTAAAAATCACATGGTAAGAGGGAGTGAAGGAAGGGGTACAATTTGTCATTTAAAGGTTAAGGTTTATGGATATTTCATCACCTTTTTTTTTTTATTAAGATTTAAAATACACTGAAAACTGATGTTTTTTTTATATAAGTATCATTTAATCAAATTTTTTTTCACTTAAGATTTGATTTAAATACTCTGAAAACTGATATGTTATTTTTATATAAGTATCATTTAATCAATTTTTTTCTGTTTAAGATTGATTTAAAATACACTGAAAACTGATTATGCTATTTCTATACAAGTATCACTTACATGTAATATGTCATTAAATATCAGTGTTCAGCTAAAAAAATATCTAAAGTATCTTCTATCACTCAACTTTAACCTTTATAACCTATTGAGACTGAAATTTGACCTTTGAAACCTTTTGTCACTAACTAACCTTTGACCTTTCCATCCATTTGTTCCTGAACTTTGACTTTTGTAACCTATTGTGGCTGAACTTTGACCATTGTCACTTATTTTGTCTGAACTTTAACTTTTGTAAGCTAATGTCACTAAACTTTGACCTTTGTAACCTATTGTAGCTGACCTTTGGCCTTTGTAACTTACCTGGATCCATGAGGTCAACGGCCCTCAGTAGAGCTATGGGGTGGGGCTGTGAGGTGACCTGAGTGGAGTTGTAACTCGGGGGTTCCGGGGACACGGGCGTCTCTGGCTGACTCTCAGAGGCCGGCGAGGGGAGGGTGTAGGCGTAGCCATTTGAGGTATACATCAGGTGACAATCATTGTATCTAAAAATAGATATGACATCATAATAAAGTCTCAGTCTCTTAGATTTCATAAATCTATTTGATAGAATAGTCAGGTTCATCATTCTTTTCAAAACAAGAAAAAAACTTCAGTGACAAATTTTGAAAATAAAATTTTTTTTTTTTTTTAAAAAACCATTTCTCCTCTGAATGCTTGTAAGAGAGACAAAAATCTTAAACATTGAAATTCCAAGACGGAACATGTAGGCCCATACAACCCACAGCTCTATTATTCTAAGTGAATTTACAGACTACAGACAGGTCTTTAAACGGTACAAGTACAAACTGCTACTTCTATGTTGACATGTTAATTAAAAGAAGTCATTAACAGCCTGAATTGCGTAAAATATATACAGTGTATGAAAATTCTGTCAATGTAAACTGTAACCTGTTGAATACATCAAACCAACATAAGACCTGACAATAATTTCAAAGAAATCTCAGGGGAGTTAAATCTTAATTTTACCCAGTTATTTATGTCCTGCTTTGCCATCACTTATAAGCGCATTAAATTTTAGATGTACAAGTATCTGTGACATTTACCCAAAACTTCAGACAGACGTAACCTTTCAGACACACTTAAGATGACATAAATGCTGATCTTTTGGTATATTTAAAGATTTTCTGATATACACATGATACAGGAGGGCAGATGGCGAGCAGAGAAAAGAAATGTCAGTAACTCTTAGTGGTGATGTCTTTCATCAGGTAGTTCAATGAATAACAACCACATTTTGTATTTCATAAATGGTATGATATTTTTAAAATAAAGGTACTACACCAAAGGAATTTTAATAAAACATTTTGACTTTTATTTAATTTTCACCTTGAGCTTTAAATTTTACATTGGAGTTAATAGACAGCAAGTTTTAATACTTTTATCAATATGAAAAATAATTTTAAAACTTCAAACAAATCTTTTGGTGAAAATATAAAAAAAATCTTTACTTATTCAATATGAAATAAAATGAATTATTTACCATGGAAATTTTAACAAAATTAGTATATTCTTCTTTACATTAACTCTTAAAAATTATATATAAGGTGCAAAATGGTTGACCTCTTCTACGTTATCAATCATGTTTATTTGGTTCATTTTCCTTTCAATATTATCTAGCAATACATACTAAACTTGTTTAAATTATTCAAAATTGTTTAATATTTCCTTCATTAACCACTTATTGAATGAATCAAGGTACTGAAAGTACTGTGTTCTATTGAACACCCAACTCGGGAGTTACTTCGATATAAGTTGACAACTTAAGGGCTACTTAGATACAGGTTACTAATTCATGGGTTATTTGGATACAGGTTGACAACTTGTGTGTTACTTAAATACAGGTTGACGATTTGAGGGTTGCTTGGATACAAATTGATAATTCATGGGTTATTTGGATACAGGTCAATAACTTGTTGGTTACTTGGATACAGATTTGACAATGTACAGGTAGCTGGATACATAAAACTTGTGGGTAACTTTGACACAGGTTTGATATTTCACAAGTTATTTGGATACAGGTTGACAAGTTGACAGCAACTTGTGGGTTACTTGGATACAGGTTGACAAGTTGTTGGTTACTGGGATACAGGTTGACAAGTTGTTGGTTACTATGATACAGGTTGACAACAACTTGTGGGATGTTTAACAACAACTTGTGGGTTACTTGGATACAGGTTGACAACACCTTGTGGGTTGCTTGACTACCGAGTCTTACATAGAGAACTGATTGTTGTTGTTGCTAGGAGGCATTCCACAGGAGGAATCATACCCGTTCATGCGTGACTGTTTGACGTAATTGGCCTCGTCTTCCACTCTTTCTCTCTGTTTCTTTGACATTCTGCCAAACTTCACAGCTATAAAAGAGAAAAAAATAATCATGCACATATCTTTCTCGAGAAAAAACATAAACTTAAGTGGGGGAAATAAAAAAGGAAATCCTGAAATCACTCTTGAATTTTCTTGAAAAAGTCATCAATCTGAACTTGGACTCCTAATATGGATCAGTTGACTCCAGTGATTTTTCTACAATTTTTAAAAGGGGCCTGGGCCTTTCCAATTGGGAAAAACTGTCGACATTTGTGTCAAATTGGGAAAAACAATAAGATTGTAATTAACCTTCATATTGACAAGTAAAATAAAATATATTAGTAAATGTAATATCATTTATTAAATTTATTTGCTACAAAATTTTTCAACAAAATGGACACAGTTCCTCATTTTTAATTTTCTTTCATTTTCGTTCTTTGATTGTCCTATATTCTATTTTTCCCCATAATGGTAGACATAATTGAAAAAAAATCATTCCCGATTTCTCGTTATTGCTCGCATTGGAGATGGAATAATCTTGACACAATTTACCAGCATGTATTGCTGTATTCTCTGCAATGCTAGTATCTGCAGGATGAAGAAACAGTATAATTTTCGTGAAATCAAGGAAGCTTGTTGTAGAACTACTAGTACTTGCAATTTACAAATAAAGCTATGTTTAACCGATTCACATGCATATTAAATTTCTTACGATGTATTGACACACAAGTTTGACATCCACAAGCTCCTTCCATATGATCGATGTTTTTTTTCGAAGTCTTGCAAACACATAAATAAACTGCTGTTTTTCGCCATTATTTTAAGCGTCCAAATGACAAAAAACAGTAGCGTTCCATTTTAGATACGTCGTACATAAAAAATTCAAAATAACCAAAACATACCTTTTGATTTTGGGAAAAAAGCAGTTGAAAATTGGGAAATAATCAGTAATTTTTGAGAGGGGAAAGGGCCGATATTCGGACCTAAATTGAGTGTAGAAAAATCACAGGACTCATAAGAATAAGCCCCTTTCTTCTACAATTCAGTCATGTAAATTTAATCTACAATATGTTATAAGCCTGTTTGCTGTATTAAATCATGTTCTATTACAAATAGGTATCAGGCAATGGTTGTCTGCCCTTGTGAGACTGGTTACGGTTGACTTACCGTCCCGAGACATGCCCAGAGCCAGACACTTCTGGAGGCGACAGAACTGGCACCTGTTCCGGTTGACTCGATCTATGACACAATTTTTGTTTCTAGGACACTGGTAATTAACAGGACCTGCCTGGCTCCGCCGGAAAAATCCCTGGTAACATAAAACATAGAATTTTATTGAGTTAGCCTAAATCTTCTGCAAACGTCGAAAAAATCTTGCTTGAATATTGTTCAAGTGGAAATTTATGTGTGGGATAATCTTTGCTAAATATGGGTAACCCTTCCCCCGTAATGTACCAAATTCTTTGTAAAATTTATAAAACAATAAAACATTATCATGATTATACTGGAATCATGCCCCCTCTTTACATTTTCACTAGCAATTCATGTAATAAACAGTGCACATAAACATGATAAAAATCCATGTACTGGGTTTTGAGTACATGCATACATTCACAAAATTTGCTGATTATGCTTTTTCGCAAACATTTACATTTATATTTCTTTAAATATTCAAATTTTGTCTTTATTTTGCATCCCACAAGCCCCTTTTTTGATAATAAATTTAACAAAATCATGTCCCCCTAAACCAATTTAAAACCTGGTAATATTATAATATATATTGCAGTCTTCTCAAATCCCACATCCCACACACCTCTGACACAGGTGATAATTATATGACACACACCTGTAGCTTTTTAATTACACATGCCCCACTCACCTTACATCCCTCACAGGTAATTATTCCATAATGAACACCTGACGATTTGTCTCCACACACCTTACAGGGGATGACCTCTATCTGAGCTGAAATACACGACAATCAAATGTTTAACATGTCAAACATCATATATAGTTACAGTAATTTGGTGTTCCATGTTTTTACCTTTACTTTTTGAAAATGAAGCAGGTTTCCAACTGCCATCTTGTTGGTATTTTTATGTACAAGAATGCATGCGAGTATATTTCCTTTTGGTAGACTCGAAAAGCTCAAGAACGCTGTCTCATTTAGCTTTTAATATTCAAGAGTAAGTATATTTACTTTTGGTCGACTCGGTGGGCTTATGACTGACTGCCACGTTTGGCATTCTATTTTGATGTGTTTATGAGTACAATCGTACATACGGTATGTAAAGAATAACTGTTACAGTATAGGAAGTAGAGTATCCAGGGCATCAACGATAGTTGGAAGCAAGGAATAATTTGCATAGTGGATAATTTGCATATTAGGCCTCCTTTGAGTCCTTAGCTCCCTTACCTATCGCTTTGCCTTATTTACATTCCAGTAGAATTATCAAGAAATCAACTCCCCTCTTTTTATAAATCTGAGTTATCACAGAGAAAACAAAAAGAAATGGAAATATTTACTTTTGGTTGACTCGGCAAGCTTACGACTACTTTCCGGTTTGACTTTCTGTTGTTATGAGTCTACGAGAACAGTAAGTATACTTACTTTTGGTTGACTCCGCAGGCTTCCGGCTGCTGTCGGGTTTGGCTTTCTGAGGAGGAGAGGCATGGATCATGTTTTCTGTGTGATCTGAACCCGGCATCACTGAAAAATAACAAAGTATCAGTAAAGTTTTAAAAGCTCCTGTACAATTTCAATCTTTTTTTCAAGCCAAGTGTTCTGTTTATCTGTCTGGCTTTGCTAAAGTTAATAAAGTGATTAAAAAATTCATAAAATAAAACAAATTTTGAACCTTTTTTCAACATATGTATCAATTTATTTTCCAAACATCAAACTTCCGAGATCCAGCAATAAACTTTGAGCATATTTTTAAGAATGTCCTCATACCCTTATTGTGTGATAAGTAACTTATTTTTTAGGTTGTCCACCGTCCACCCCATGCCCCAGACTTTTTTAATACTGTTTATACTAGGGAATACTTACTTTTGAGATTGTCGAGCAGTCCCCCATGTAAGGACTTGTTTACGCTGACTGGCGGTGGTGGTGGGTACTTACTTTTTGACGGTCCAGCACCCCCCGTGTGGGCACTTGTTCATGCTGACTGTGGTGGTGGTGGTGGGGGTGGGGTGGGGTGGGGGGGGTTGTTACTTAGATACTTACTTTTTAGACTGTCTAGCAATCCCCCATGTGAACTTATTTACACTGACTGTGGGTGGTGGTGGTTACTTACTTTTGAGATTGTCCAGCGGTCCCATGTGAGGGGACTTGTTGTTTATGCTGACTGTGGGTGAAGATGCTGGTGGTGGTGGTGGGTAGTTACATTTGAGATTGTCTAGTGACCTCCCATGAGGGGACTTATTTACGCTGACTGTGGGTGGAGGTGGTGGTGGTGGTGGGGGTTGGGGGGGGGGTTACTTACTTTTGACCAGCGGTCCCCCATGTTGGGACTTGTTCACAATGACTGTGGGTGGTGGTGGTGGTGGTGGGGGGGGTGTTACTTACTTTTAAGACTGTCCAGCGGTCCCTCGTGTGGCTACTTGTTCACACTGACTGTGGGTGGTGGTGGTGGTGGGGGTACTTACTTTTGAGATTGTCCAGCGGTCCCCCGTGCGGCGACTTGTTCACACTGACGGTGGGTGGGGGAATGATCTGCATCATGCCTTCTGAGGACATAGACACGACTCCATGATCAAGGGAGGGAACTGCGGACTGGTCAAGAGCTGTAGCAGTGAAATCTGGTAAAATAAAAGGAAAGAAATCAATCATTGTTGAACATGTTGGATTTTAAATGACTAATAATAGGTATTTCAAAGTGAGTTAAAACCACATCATCATGATCATATTGATATCTCAAACAAATATTCTAAATTATCAAATATCTCAACTTTAAGGGTTTTTTTCCTTTGTCCCACTGAATTTGAGATAATAAATGTGGATGTGGTTATACTGTCTATATTATTGGAAATTGGCAACAAATTTTGTTAATTTCTCGAAACCCCCTCCCTTCCTCTCTGATGTCAACCCTGAGACTGCCTGTCATGATAAATGTTCTAATACTTCTATTAGATCCGCTGTGACAGAACTAAGATCCACCCCTGCTTTTTAACTGTCCTTTTGACCTCTCCTTGAACACACTATGTGGATTAAGCCACAAAGTGAGATAAGAACTAGCATGTTTTTGATGACATGACGATGTGGCCTTATCTCTTATAAAAATCCCACACACCCACACAAAGAGACATATTTCTGTTTCTACATTAAGGGTACTCGGGTGGTCTTTTGTCATTATTCAATGTTTCATCTGACAAACATAATACAAGGATAGGACAAAATATAACTTAGCCATTTTTTAACACATAATGAATTTAATATTTCTAAAATACTTGAAATCTAATGATGATCAATTATTCATTGTATGTGCCCCCCCCCCCCCCCACACACAATGCTGTGATCTTACTTCCAATTTTATGAGAAAGTAATTTCAAATCCATCGATATTCAAAGATGGCTTATTTTTACCAACTGTAAAATAAAGAAAAAGATTGGCAAATTCAACGTTGAATTTATAATAAAATAAAATACTTGTTTATTAAAATGTTCTTTTTTGTATCATACCTTCACATATTCCCTCGTATTACAAACAGAAGTAAGTTTTAATTATCACTTCTGGTTTTCTCGATTCAATTTTAAGGCTTCAGCTATTAATTTTGTATTAGAAAGGAAGGGAAACATTGTTCTCCGGAGAAGAAAAAAAATCTTGTTACTTTTATATTAATGACTTCTGCATTCATACTTGGTAAAAACACAATTATTCGTACTCTAATTATCTATGTCACTAATTATTATTAATGAATCACGAGTCACAAGTTCTGGATAGGCACAATGTTTACAACAGTTACTGTACATATAAAATTCACAAGAAAGTCAGCTCAAACTAACACAAATACCTTTCCTGCAATCAAACGAGGTCACAGGGTTTACATAAGGTCATATAAGGTCAACATGCCTTTCCCGAAGTCAATATTTGGAGGCTGAGCCACTACACCTGTATGTTTTTTTTTTCAATGCTAAAGAAACGTATGAAATTTATCATGGATAAAAATGGAAAGGGAACTTACTGTTGTTTGGTGGAAATAAATAATTCCACACTTCTGTTGGAATTTCTGGCCAATTAAAATCCTCAAATATCATTTTTGTTAAAATTAAAATAATCCTCCCCTAGTTAAAAGTTTGTGAACAAACACTCAATAAAGTTTTCCCGAAAGGTTCATCAACATGATCAAGAAAACAACTGCACATATACATTTTTATTTCACACACATATCTTGTTTGTCAAAAATAAATAATTAAGTTAAAAAAAATTAATCCACAGCACAAACATAGTAAATCCAATAAGGGTACAAAATTTTTAATAATTTTTTTTTTAAATCTGAACAAATTCCTTGACTGTAAAATGACACTAGAATTATTTTTGTTTGTTGCGAACAAAAACCTGCTGTTCAGCCAATACACATCGGAGACTTTCCGACAGTGGAAAATAAAAAAAATTTCAAGGTTTGGTCAACGACCTAGGAGTCATTATCGCGGGAGTTCAATCAACCGCGGCGACGTTCATGCCAATGCTCCGCCATGGATCAATAACTTTTCCTCTTGCATGTTGTCTTCACAAAGCTATCGGGGAGAGTCGGGGTTCAACAACCTTTGGTACGCAGGCAATACCAACCCTCGACAGTAGATAATAAATAATTCATTTGTTTTTTTCTTGTGCTACAGTTCTTTTTTTTTTCCCTGTACATATTGAAAATCATGAAATGTACTTTTTTTGCCACAATCTGGAAATATCAGCATGTATAGATGTATATCTACATTTTAGTAGTGTTTTATCTCGTAAGATGTATGTATGGATTTCCCCTCATTAAATTCCAGAACCACTTTTCTATATAAGTGGACTTGCCAAAGTACTTATGCACTGAGTAGAGTGTATACTATCCACACTGTTGCAAAAGAAGGCCGACATCTTTCTACCATCTGTACATCACAAATAATTAATACATAACTGACATCTTTGATATTCACATTGCAGTCTTATTCCAACTGAGATGCAAGGAAGTTCAAATTCTGTTCCTATAACTTGTAGGTACTTCACCATGTTCACCTAGATCTACTTTACAGATACGAGATAGCTTATGATTTTTTTTATTTCTTCTGAGCATAGAGAAAATTATTTATTTATAAATACACTGAACTCAATGAGAGATTCAGAAGATCTTTAATTTTGGCTCTGACACTCCCCCTTTTTGTACTCAGGTTAATGATTTTAAAAATTGGAAAATTCATTTGAAGGACATTTCAGAATCAATTGACATCATAATTATTTTGAATTTCTGGTGTCTGGCATCAATAAATAAAACCTGATAAGTATTGAAAGTTTAGCATATATTGCATATATTGTCAAATATAGGGTTGGGTGGGGGTGATAATTAGTATTCATTAGGGAAAAATACTAGAACAAGATACAGAAAGCTTATCGATTAATGATTGAATTATACAAATATCGCAGTGGATGAAGAGGCAAAAATTGGTGGAGGGGGGTGGGGGTAAACGGCGTTATAGACTAAGTCTCAAAAGTAGTAAATCATGCATATATATATTCACATTCTTAAAAAAATTGTAATTTGCTTTTTCTTAAATTACAGACCCTAAACCATGCTACTACACCTCAGAAATGAACCGATCCGTTCCGTGCACAAAGCGTACCGTTCCGTTCACAAAGCGTACCGTTCTGTTCACAAAGCGTACCGTACCATGCACAAAGCGTACCGTACCGTTCCCAAAACAAAAATGTTCCATTCACGAAGCGTACCGTTCCGTGCACAAAGCGTACCGAACCGTACCATTCAAGTGGTGTAGTAGCACAGTTTAGGGTCTGTAGTATTACAGTGTTTTCCCTACGAGCCGGCTACCAGCCAAATTGACCGCTTCAATTAACAAAAATACTGCTTTAAAATAAAAATTTGTTGTAAGGTCCACAGAGATTTTGTTCATACACATCAGCCCCTAGCCTCTTCAAGCCCCATCTCCATCCCAACACCCAATATTTTTAAAAATTAAATTCATTTTAAATTCAAGTTAATTATAAGTTTGTACTTTAAATATTTCCTAGGAGAGAACTCTGTCAGATTAATAATTAAATAACAATTAATCTTCTAACCAATCCTTAGAAGAAATAAAATAAGAGACATTTACTTCAAATCAATTTAACAGAACAGTTTCAATAAAATATGTCTGACACTTTCTCAAAGGCAAAGCCAGATTGGTCAAACTACATTGGCGGATCCAGAGGGGGGGTTCCGGGGGTTGGAACCCCCCTTTATTTTTTGCCAAGTGGAGAGAGAGAGAGAGAGATGAAACGATTTCTAAGAATACATATTTGTACGTCTAACTCATCTATCTACTGAACTAGAGAGATTTTCACACATTTAGTAAGTTTCTTCCATTCACCTTCACTATTCCTTTTTTATGGGAGAATGGTAGAAAATATTCTACTTATTTTTATATATCTTATACATGTATATAATATGTATCATGCGAGGTTTAATTTGATATTAGATTCCCGCGATCTTTGGCTGTGTTGGGTATATATGTACCATTTTTGATCATATCTTTTGTGGGAACTAACATAAAACTCTTTGTTTTTAAACCAAACCCGCACCCACCCCAAAAAGTTTGCTTTTTTTTTTTTCAATTTCTACAAATCCATTCAATTTTAAGGCTTCAGTAGTTTTTGAAATGTGTTTCTTTGCTTTCAAAGAAAAAAGGGACGTAAAACAAAGATATTATTTACCACAACCTTATATGGATCTGTCCATACGTGTGTGTTAATCTTTGCTTGAGAGTGTGTAAGGGGGGTGTTAGAGGGACACAACCCTGGAACCCCCCCTTTCAAAAATTGCTGGATCCGCCCCTGAACTAAAATGAATATAAGGCATTTGTGAAGAATGGAACAAAAAACACTAGTATATCATTAACTCTTCTGATAATCTAATCAACGTTAAAGCTTAATTTAAAGGACATTCACATATTTAAAAGTCATATCAGAACCAATAGAAACTTTATTTTATAAAAATTTTGAGGATGTCAATTTCAAATTTTAAAGAGTCAAGTGTAGGACATGCAGTGGGCAATTTAGAAAGTGGTGCCTCCCATTACAGGGGGTGAGAGGGGGATAATCGGAATAACGCAGGGAATACATCATTTAAGGCAGACAAATTCCCCGAGTGGCCCCTGGGGTTGAAGGGAAAACCCAGATATCCTATCATTACAATAATTAGACATTCCACTTCTCAAGAATGGAGAATTCATCAGGAACTTTTACAAATTTGCATTTATGGTAATACAAGTTTACCTTTTAATGTTTTTTTTTTCTTAATAGAATTTATTATCTTATTTAAGTCAAAAGGAGAAATCTTCGATCTACAAACCAAGCAATTTTTTTTATCCAAATTCCATCATTCAAACATTGCAATTTCCAAACATCAAAATTTGTTGCAGACAAGATAATAAATAATATCAAGCAAATTTCTGACATATAAAGTACGTATTTTTAAAAATGCTTGCTCTCTAGACTTGTAAAAAAATACATTAAATAATTAATTAACGTCAAGATTTTCCACATATCCATAGACTAGATAATAAAACATTTCTATTGAATTTTTCAGAAACAGTCCCATTTTAAAAATAGAGCTCTATTCATTCAAATTTTAAACCTTTTCAAAGAGATAGGGCTTCACATTGGAAGACATGTAACCTGTCACCCCTTGTTCATGGATATAGACTCGTCCGGGATCAAAGGTCATTTCTATTTAGACCATATCTGTGTAAATAATGGACTGTTTACAATTTAACCATTCATAACTTCGGCGTCCATTAGACACATGCGTAACGATTTTTCTAAAGAATACAAAAATGCATAACTGACAATGATTACAATTTGGTGGAATCAACATCGTTAACAAGCTAAGCTCGTGAAGAAGGGGGGTGTGTCACATCGTGGCGTTTTTTTGCAACCGAGATAGGCCCATGCGAAGTGATACATGAATTATGGGTTCCTTCGCACCTGTTGTATTTCGTATACGAAGCACTGTCCAGGTACGCCATATCATTATGCATACGGAAAAATTATCCAGTTTTTGCATTGAAATGTTCACAAAAATTGTGCATTTCTCCTTTTTGTACAAAGTGTGCATTTTAACCCCCTCACAACACATGGCTTGAGAAAATTTAGCGCCATTTTCTCAAACACGTATGCAAAAAGACAATCAAAGCCCCCATTTCTGAAATTCCATGCCCGTTTCATAATTTGAGTGACTCTTACCTTTCATGTCGTTTGACATAATTTTGCCACAGCATTCATGAAAACTTCCCTATTTTAACCTACTTCGACCTAAATTCACAGAGCACACACTCTTACATCCGTCCAACGTCCAAAAATAGACACAAATTGTGCCAGCAGGTCACGAGCGTAGGGATATCTCAGAAATTAGCATAAACAGTCCCGAATAATTATCTCATGTTCTCCGGCTTCTGATATGTTTTCTTTCGGAATAAGGAATAAATGTTAATGAGTTAAAGAGAAAATATATCAGTATAATATTTTTTGGTCTTATCAATACTTAAAAATACGATTTTTTTTATGGGCTATATACCGCGTAGAAAATGCTGTAATCTGATTGAGTTGTCCGTCAGCAGTTTATTGTAGGTGGCGCTGCGACGTTATAATGAAGCTTGCCTCAGGTTTGAGGTCATTGTGTATTAGGGTATTCAACTCGTGACGTATTGATTGCAGGGATTAAGCAATGCTTTACATTGTTAATCTAGTTAATGGCGTTACATATTTCATTGTAAAGAAATAACTAAACCAGTTAAGCGTTTTTGAGACGCAGCATTGCTCTGAGGACAGAGAATAAGGTTGAAGAAAATAGGGAGCGGATCTACGTACTTGCTTACTAAATTGAGTCCTTTGAGCGCAAAGGTCTGAAGGGAGCGAATCTAATATCTGAGATAGAATTTCGCATTTATAATTACTTTGTTTTATTTAACAATGTTGCAGAGTATTACAAATCAGACTGATTTGTCCCTTTACTTGAAAATTACAGAATACAGATGAAGAATCTATTACCCTGGGCTGCACACTTTAAAATACAAACCTTTAGTTACAAGTTTCGACCGAGCCTGTACATATGACGTCATCGAAATATGTGTTCTTTGCAGACATGACGCGTCTTTTTTACGTGTATTTACCCGTATTTACCTTGTATGGGGTGACCCACACGTAAGTGGATAACTTGTGTGTTTATTTTAAGATATTTCAATTAATATTGGGTCGTTTGAATCAAAACAAACATATTTCAAATGTAGACTATGTAGTGTAATAGAACTATATATGTTTCATTCGGTGAAATGGTTATAAAAAATTATCGAGACGCTGAAAATATCGATCTAATACGATGAATCCCTAGATCCCTTTTGATTACATTTTACATATACAATAGTACATCTTTACCACACATGATACTTATCATTTGAATTTAGGATTTAGGTTAAAATACAATTTATGAGATAAGTTGAATCTTAGTATACAAAATCAAATGACCGACTGTCATGTCAACCCATCCCCACCCCTACCCCTGGGCCGCCATACCCCTTAGGGGACTTCTGGGAGGAGTGGCCAGCTAATTTTTTTAAGTTAGATAATTCATTTCTTCTTCTTCCAGTAATGTAAATGACTAGATGGTATGTCAATGTAGCCATTTTAGGTGGCAATGTCCTCTTGTGTTACCTGTACAGGATGTAAATGACTAGATGGTATGTCAATGTAGCCATTTACAATCCTGTACATCATGGTGGCTCGTGATGTTATCCGCCTGGACTGCAGGGTATCAAGCTGGAGTTGATTGAGCATGGATGTTACGCTGCTGTCCCTGCTGTAGTCGCCCTTGATGTATTGTGCTGCTCGCGGTTGTACCGCCTCTATCTTATTAATGTGGGTCTTGTTGGTATGATCCTTTACTGTAGTGTAGAGGCATATTCCACCTGAGGTCTCACTAGGGTCTTATAGCTGGTTGCCTTGATGGACCGTGGGCATCCAGAAAGGTTACAACTCAGGAAAGCAGTGGTGTTGTTGGCTTTTCTGGTAATGTTGTTAATATGTGGTCCCCAATTGAGCTTGTTGTCGATGGTAACGCCCAAGTACTTTGCTTTGGTGGTGAACTGCAAAGTTTGGCCATGGATGGAGTATTTGGCCTCAATTATATGCCTTTTGTTGGTGATGCGTATAACTTCACATTTCTCTGGGTTGAAGCTCATCAGCCACTCAGATTCCCATACTTGTAGATGGTTCAAGTCTTCCTGGAGAGTGATTGTGTCCTCCTCATTAGCTATGCTAAATCAGCAAAGAGCCTTGTTGTTGATTTGACTCAGGATGGTAGGTCATTGATGTAAACCAGGAACAGTAGTGGGCCAAGCACTGTGCCCTGGGGATGTTACAGGAGCAGCTGATGACATCTTTCCATCAACAACTACTTGTTGGCTTCTGTCGGCTAGGAAGCTTCTGATCCATTCCAGGGTCTGTCCTCTCACACCATAGTGCTCCAGTTTGAGGGCTGATAGATGGTGGGGGACTTTATCAAAGGCTTTGCTGAAGTCAAGTAGGACTGCATCTACCTATTGTCGTTGGTCGAGGCTACTTGCTAGATCATGGATAGTTGTTATCAGCTGACTTTCGCATGATCGTCTCTTCCTAAAACCATGTTGCTGGTCTGAGAGGATGTTATTTCTCTCAAGGTGATTAATAACATGGCTATAGACTATATGCTCCAAGGTCTTACAGCATACAGATGTGAGAGACACTGGTCGGTAGTTAGATGCTGTGGATTTGTCTCCTTTCTTGAATAATGGTGTGACATATGCTGTCTTCCAATGCCATTGCTTTCAAACATCTGGCTGATATGTTCTCTGGTCCACTAGCCTTGTTAGGGTTCAGGTTTTGCAATAGTTTGAGGACACCTTTTTCTGTGTTTGATGTTATTTACCGCTTGGTAGGTTGATTTGCCAAGGTCCGGAAGGTTACTAAGTGTCTCTGTATGGAAGACAGATGAAAACTGTTGATTCAAGATCTCTGTCTTTTCCTTTGGACTGGAGTGAAGCAAACCCTTGTTCAGTAAGGGGGAGACACCTGAACTGTCACAGCACTTACTCTTGATGTAAGTGTATAGCTTCTTGTTGGAATGGCCCTCCTCTCCAAACATGTTGTTAATATATATTTGTGGTATGACTTTCTACAATCTTTCCTGTTGGTACTCTGGGCATCATGGTATTTTCTCCATTCATTCTGGGTGTTTGGCCCACCTATTTGCATGTCGTTTCCTTCTACTGAGTCTCTGGATGTTTCTGTCACACCATGGTTGATTGAAACGACTTGAAGTGAACTTGAATGGTACATGTGTATTAATGGAACGAGTGCAGATGTTCTTCAAGTCATTCCACATCACATCTACTGGTACATTGTTGATGGCATGTTGCTGAAATTTGACCAGATTCTCCGTCAAATCAGATCTAATAGCCTTGGTGTCTGCCTTGGACCAAAGATATACGAGTCTCTTCACTGGACGGCGTCGATGTGGCGTAGTGTTGATGTCAATCAAACCAATACTATGTGATCACTAAGTCCTGGAATTGGTCTTGCTTTATTAAGAAGAGGTGGTCTATTTGTTGCAAAGATGTCAAGGATGTTATTACCACGTGTTGGGAAGTTGATGACTTGTTGACATCCAAGATCACTAAATGTGTCTATAAACTGCTGACTGATGGTAGTTGGATAGTTATATCCCTCACCTGAATCACATGCCCAGTTGATATCAGGAAGATTAGCATCCCAGCCAACCCATAGTGTGTGATCCAGGTGTTTACGATGAAACTCCTTTAGGGTGGATCACATTTTGTTTGTGTAGTCCACGTCATTGTTTGTGGGTCTATAAATGCTGCACACAATGATGGGTTTGCCGTTATCCTTAGAAGGGATTGATGCAGCAACCATTTCTGTATGTGTGTCAAGCACGATCTCTGAGGCATCTATATTAGCCTTAGTAATGATGGCTACTCCACCATGAGAGCTGTTTGGACGGTCTTTCCTAGCAGCAAAAACATAGTTATCAGGCAGAACGTCTCTCTCGTAGATGGTTGAGTTGAGCCATGTCTCACTGGCCAAGATGATGTCAGGGTCAGTGTTCTCCAGCATGCTCCAGAATGCCTCACGTTTGGGTCTAATACTCTGGAAGTTTATAGATAATATTCTTGCCTTGTTATTGTCTAGTGGCTTTTTGGATTGCTCTTGTTTTGGAGAAGATGCAAGAATAGGATCACCAAAAAATGAAGTGTTTGATAGAGTATGTATGCTTGATGGTGTCGATGATATACAGTGGAGCCTCATTTATCCTGACGCTTTGGTTCCCAGTCAATTTGTCCGGATATGTAAAGTGTCCGGAAAGCTGAATCACCAGTTAACCAGGACAAAATAACCTTTAAAAATTTCGTTCCGATGAAAAATCATCCGGATACTGAAGCATCCGGATATCTGGGGTCCGAATACTGTATAGGGGCCTATAGAAAGCTAATTCACTGTTTCTGGAATTCACGGATCCATTAACACCGTGAATATAGCGAATATTAACACCGCAAGTTATTTTCTCCCTATACAGTATCTGAGGGTCCACTGTATAGTAACACCACTTAAAGATAAATTGAAATCTTCAAAAAGGCTGGTGTGGAAATTAGGAAGGCCACATTGACAGTTGTATCAGCTTAGATCTCGTCAAGAAAATGACCCAGAATAGATTATTTTCTTCCTTTATGAAAAATTCAAACAAACCAAAAAAGGGGAAGAAAAAAGACTGTTTTTTGTTCGTGTGAGTGAGTTGGGGGGGGGGGGGATGGCACTAGTGAAGGATAGAATATTTATTTTTCTTGCCTGTCAAAGATAAATTATTTATTTTCAACATTTGCGAGGATAAATTCTCTCTAAATTCTGCCAGCGCCCCCCCCCCCCCCCCCCCCCCATCAGCTGCATTATCTTTTGCATTGTACAAACAGGCACAAATGATCCACAGGTGCCTGTGGACAGGACTGCCCCCCCCCCCCCGAATATACACCCGGGTTCAAGGAAACTTGTATTTGTCTAAATTTGTCTACTATTACACATTTATATTGTATTCCATATCAAATTTAAAAAAAATAACGTAGAATTAACCTTTTATAAAAAAAAATCACATGCGCGGTATCAGAAAAAAGAGCTTCTCAAGGGAAAGAGGGGAGGGGATACTGTCGACAAGAAACTGTAGTATATACATGGATAAACACAGCCAATAATTTTATTGGTATTTGTTGTAACATTTTTATAGCGATCTGTGAGAGGAAACTGAAAGCATGTCAAGGAAAACAAGGTTCCGTTTTTTCATGAAGGACGACATAGATTTGTTAAAAGAAGTGTTGAGTGTTAATCCCTTTTCTGGGGATTCGGTAAATAAGTGGGCCGAAATTGCAGAAAATTTTATGATGGTACATCAAGAAAAAGCCCTGGATGGAAGGCGCTGCCAAGAAAGGACAAGTCTCCTTCTTGCATTTTCTAAAGAAAAGAACAGAGATAAGCTATTAAGGTACACAGACTAAGTTAACGTTGTTAAATAAATAAATACCTATCAAGCATCAGCTATAAACAAGCAGTAATATAACAGCTATCATGATTGTTATTTCCTTTACTTTCTAACATTGTTTGTGTACCCCCCCCCTCCCTGGGCCCCCTGCCTTTATTTACTATTCTAAAACTCTACGTTACTTTCTATTCAAAGACATGGAACTGACGAAGAGAATGTCGAGAAGGAGCAGTTGTTACAGGAAGTGCTAGCATTGTCTGAGCAGGCCAAATTTAAAACTGAAAAAGGCAAAGATGAAAGCCAAAAAACGCAATTAATACGGAAAAGGGCGATCAAAAACATGAAAACAGGTATTTGTATATATGACTGGAATTTTTATACGTAGGCACTTTTATATTCATATTTACAAACATTTATTTAAATTTCATATTGTTTTTCATTTTTCAGATACCTCTGATGAGAACGATGACAGTCAGTGTTCAGTGAAGAGAAGAAAATCTAATACATGACCGACTTCCTCACTCACTTCAGATATATCGATGACGTATTGCCAATTAACAATGGTAATTTCCATTCCTTCGTTGAAACGATATATCCTGGTGAGCTTGAGATAAAAGATACCACAGAGTCTGACACCTCTGTTTCATACTTGGATATTTTACTTGAAAAAGACGCTAATGGTAGTCTAACAACGAAATTTATGATAAACTTGATGACTTTAACTTTTCTATTGTCAACTTCCCTTCCTTATGCAGCGATATACCTTCATCACCTGCATACGGAGTGTATATATCTCAGTTGATTCGATACGCAAGAACATGCTCTACGTATGGACAATTTCTAAAAAGAGGTAAATTATTGACAAACAAGTTGATGACACAAGAATATCAGCAGTCTCGTTTAAAGTTATCATTTCGTTAGTTCCATGGTCGATACAATGACCTTGTCAGCAAATACAATTTATCATTGAGTCAAATGCTGACTGACGTTTTTCATACCAATTGTTAGTCCATTATTTATATACTGAATTGATGACGGATATGTTTCCGTTATTTCTAGATCATAACAAGGAGCACACGGTGTGAACGGTCGGCAGGGGATGCTCACTCCTCCATGGCACCTGATCCCACCTCTGATGTTTCGGGGTCCATGTTTGCTCTGCTCTTATTTTGTGTTGTTTTATGGACTTTGAGATTGAATACTGTTTGTTATCTCCATATCCTTCATAAGACTGAGAGCGAAAACAAATTGAATAGAGAATAAAGAAAAAATTGAGCTAGAAAAAAAAGAAGCTGAAGTTAGATAACAAAAAAAAAACAGCAGCTGGACCAAGAAAGATTCCGGTTAGAGAAAGAGGAAAGAACTGAAATGATTGATTTATTCAGACAGTTAATTGAGAAAAAAACAAAACAGAGTATTTAATTGTAGTCAGTATTTATTAATAGTATTTAACTTTTTTCATCATGTTAGAAATGATAGCTAATAAACTTTTACTTTATCTGTTGTTAATATATTGTTCTAAAGAAGGAGGGCGAATTTCGAAGAAATCCGTCGAAGGACTCCCGTACAAACAAGTGTGGAAGTTGGTAAGAAAGTAGTACTTTCCGACAGGCTGGAGGTATAGTTTTCAGTTTTTCTTGTAATCAAAAAATGAAAATGTCTGGGCGTATTTGACCAAAAATCAAAAACTTAATATATGGTCTCGGGGAGAGGCGGAGAAAGACTAGTCCTTTCCATAGGCGGTCCTGCGGATAAGACCGTATGAACTGTATGAACCGAGGCCCCGTGTCACAGCAGGTGTGGCAAAAACTGCTCAAAGGTCGTAAGAGCCGAGCATTTGCAGCGCTTCGCCAGCAATGGTGACGTCTCCATATCGGTGAAATATTCTGGAGAGGGACGTTAAACAGTACCCAATTAATCAATCATACTTTTACATGACTGCCGCTCTCTTTAGCATTGTAAGAGACATCTGTTTCGGGGGGAGGGGGATCCAAGATATTTTTACACAGTGCTCGCTCGGGGATTCATATCTGAGTACGAATCTCGACCGTGACTTACCGAAGTCGATAGAAAATTGGTAGCAACCAGAAGGTGGATCCAGGTATTTTTTTTTTCCAGCGGGGAGGTCCACCTCAGTCAAAAATAAATCCAAATCAAAAATTTGAGAGAGAGAAAGAGAAACTCTTAACTCGTCCAAAACGTGAAAAACCATTGGGGGCTAGGGGTGTAAGTGCATGGTTGACTTTTCACTTCTAATGCTTCGTATCTATTACTTTTCATACCTCCTTTGCCATGCCCTCAACACGTAAAAGTAAACTTGAAGTGCAGGTGCATGCCGTCGGACATCGTCGGAAACTCACGGTTGATTACGCTTCGACCGAACGAAGGGTAATCAGCCGTGGGTTTCTTACGATGGCCGTCGAATTAAGCCTTAAAAACCGAGGGGCCCTATTACAGTAGACGTTGATATACGATAAATATCCCTCACTGCTTAATGCTTGGCTCTGAGTGACAATTAAAGGCCTAATTCAACAATTAAAGTCCTTCAGATTTCTTTAAACGAATGAAACATTTGAAGAAGACGTACGTAAAACAACAACAACAAAAATCAATCAATACCCCGGTATAGATTTTAAAGTTAAATTTCATCGAAAACCCACGAAACGAAGGTCTTTGGGCCTTGACCCACTTCTCATCTGCCCATGAATAATGCATTCTAACATATAATAAATTTTAATTAAGTCGAGATTGATTCGCAACCTTTCAAATGACATCCATCTAGAGAAGTGGATTGACAAGCAGTTAAAACTGTGTAATGAATCAGAATCAGTTAAGTGGATTGAAATAGGATTTTAAATCACCCAATCAAATCATATTATGTGTAGCCAATCAGAGTTGATATTTTAGCCAACCAAATCATTAGAATTTATTAACCAATGAGTAGCTATTAGCCATAGGAGATATAGTATAAATACAGGGATCAATCTTGTTTCGTTTACTTTTGGTGTAACTCTTTGTTAGAGTTAGGTGACGTGGGAAGGGTGCCTGGGCTGTGTCGGGAAACAACAGAATTGTTGGTTATACCTCTCAGTCTGCAGCTACAGAGATAGATTTTATACTTGATCATTGGTTTGATAAATTATTGGTGATTCTTTTGTTGCAGTTCGTTTTCATATTTGTTTGCTAATCATTTATCCAGATAGGACCGAGGAAAAAGTATATATACATAGTGAATTTCAGTCAGTTTCTTGTTTAAGTGCCATTGCTATTGAAGTTTGTTCATTTTGTATTATAAACGTGATTCTTAGGAAGGAAACCTAAGCGAACCCAATTATGAATCATTTGTACTTTGTAAAAACGTTACAAATTTGGTGGCAGCGGTGGGATAAACATCACGTTTTAATAAAGTTATTGTAATTTGTTGATCTAGTACTTGCTTATTTTTTTTATGGATAAGATTTCTACTTGCGACGTTTAGATAGAAATAATGTTCATGGAGCAAAGATTACTTTAAAAAAGTGAGAGTTCTAACATGTGTTATATACTAGTAAAACATCTAGCAAGGATCTAAATACTTTTAAAAGTAAAAACTCTATTTGTTCAATTTCTACGGAGTCATGGATTTGTGATTACCTATGCGAGGACGCATATTTTTTCGAAGGCGTGGGTAATGTAATGAATCAGAATCAGTTAAGTGGATTGAAATAGGATTTTAAATCACCCAATCAAATCATGTTATGTGTAGCCAATCAGAGTTGATATTTTAGCCAATCAAATCATTAGAATTTATTAACCAATGAGTAGCAATTAGGCAGAGGAGAACTAGTATAAATACAGGGATCAATCTTGTTTCATTTACTTTTGGTGTAACTCTTTGTCAGAGTTAGGTGACTTGGGAAGGGTACCTGGGCTGTGTCGGGAAACAACAGAATTGTTAGTTAGACCACTCAGCCCAGGGACCCAGTTCCCTAGTGTCTTTGTGACTAGCTATGGTGTCTCTGTGACTTTAGCTTGTGTCTAACCAAAAGTAATAGTGTCCTGTTCATAGCTATGGTGTCTTGGTGACTTTAGCTTGTGTTTGTGTGTCTTAATATGTTTATGTTACTTTGTGATTATAAGGGTGTGTTTTAGGTAGTTGCAGACTGTGTCGGGAAACAACAGAATTGTTGGTTATACCACTCAGTCTGCAGCTACAGAGATAGATTTTATACTTGATCATTGGTTTGATAAATTATTGGTGATTCTTTTGTTGCAGTTCGTTTTCATATTTGTTTGCTAATCATTTATCCAGATAGGACCGAGGAAAAAGTATATATACATAGTGAATTTCAGCCAGTTTCTTGTTTAAGTGCCATTGCTATTGAAGTTTGTTCATTTTGTATTATAAACGTGATTCTTAGGAAGGAAACCTAAGCGGACCCAATAAATACTTATTTGTACATGGTAAGAACGTTACAACTGCATGTAGATTTACTCGAAGTATCATTCACATAACGCCAGGCCAGGCTGGAATTCTGAGTCCACTCGTAGTCAGTGGCGGATTTAAGGGGGGGGGGGGGGGCGCACCCGGCGCGCTCCACTAAAATTGTCAAAGTTTAGCGTAAATCATAGTTTAGTCTAGAAAATATAAAAATGTCTACTCAGTAGACTTCATTTTAACCCTACGAAATCTCTAGAGTCCAGGAGCTTCCCCCTGACCCCCGGCCTACCTTATGCACCCCCTTCCTCCTAACTTCGATTCCTGGATCCGCCCCTGGTAGTCCTTTGGCCCAAGAGTGGACTCTGACAGGACACATTCATGTAACGTTGTGAGGACGATTTAGGCAAATTACATTCGATATTTTAAGGTTTGATTCTTTCATCGAGAAAAACCGAACCCTGGCAAACTGATTAAATCTTTTATAATTCAAAGGGTTATATTTTAATAAATTGTAAACTGAAAGGATTAAATGCACGTGTTACAAGTAATTTATCATAGAAACACAGGTGCTTGACGTTTTTAACCTTCCTCTTCATAAATAAAAACATCCAATTCTTATAATGCTATTCTATTACAGGGAATATTTTTATTTATGAAGAGAAAGATTAAAACGTTCAAACACCTGTGCATAGAATGGCCTAATGTGATTGGTAGAGAGATATTAAGAAAAACAATCAAGATTTGTAATTTTTTCCGCAAGACGTCTCTACAGCTGAGTCAGCCTATATATACGAACCATTGAATGAAATTAGTCAGGGGGTCCAACAGCGACATGTTAACTTAGGAGTTAGGACCCCTACAATGCAGGGATGGTCCATTATTCCAAAGAGAATATATACGGAATGCTTTCTATATGGATAATGTTCACATTTCTTCACCAGTGTAGTACTTTGAAGACTAGTGTGAACTCTGACTGAAAAACTTTCTGCGTGTTGTCAATTCTTGAGAGAGATGAAAATTATAATTTAATTGTTCATACAAAGATTGCAAAACTAAGAATAAGTCATCAATCATCCAGGGAAAGCCCCACCTCGCAGGTGAGTTTGGAACATAGACGCAAGCGCGGTTTCAGGACGTGTCTTTTGTGTACGCATTATGTGTTTTTCTTGGTGGCCTGAATACAATCGTTAAAATAAATGTTTTTTTTTTGTAAAAATCGTTGAATTAGTATACAGTCAAAGTGCATAACTGAGCGCGTTAGCAAGATTCCAGCTCCTCAATGCCACGATTTTACCCGAGGCAAAGTCGAGTTGAACTAGCTTAAGGTAGATTCTGTTTTGGTTTTTGAGTAGATAATATTTAATGAATATTTGCTTTTATGTCTCATATATATAGATGAAAGAGATTTAAAAGAATTTTTCTTCCCTCATCACAATTGTACATCTCTAGAGATGGTAAATTGTGTTCGAAAACTAGCAGGGACTATATTTTTGGCGGAATGATGGCGTATGAAAATATCTTCTTTTCCGCCGCTCAAAATTATTATTGAACAACAAATATAGTTACAAGTAGAGCTTTTTTAAAAAAAGCTTACCGTCTTTAGCAACAACCTTAAACAATAAACTAAGCTACATCTTTCAAGTCGTATAATTCTTTTGAATTTCTTGATTTCGTATTTCTACATTAGATTATTACTGGTATTAGCCCTACCGCGGTTGTCGCTCGGTCATCTCCGTAAACTGACCGATACCTTCGACAAGCCCCGGCTGATTCCGTTAAATGTTACCTTCTTCAAACAAATACGGGGAAAAGAATAAATGCAAATTGTAAAGCCAGCAAGCATTAAAAATCAAATCTTATTTGCAACTTGATGAAAATAAAGAGACATGTTTAGTTATAATTGCTATCAAAAATATTGTTATTTAAGGAATGAAGCTAATTTCAATTTATGTTATACGATATAACATAACATGGGGCAGTTTACGCTTTATAAACCGCGAAGCGGTTTATAAAAAAGCGTAAACTGTCCCAAGTTTTGTTATATCCTATA